AAAGGTGGATCACGTTCTTAAGTAATGCCCAGCGTAATAGTATGTCGGGTACAACTCTAACATATCCAAGACCATTCTTGTCAAGACTTCTTGCTTCGTGAAATGATAGCACTGTCAGTTTGCTCCTCACAGGCCCGTGTCAATAGCAAAAGATCAGCTTACACCGTTTGTCTGATCATATCATTACGTTGAGAGAGACAGAGAGCGCGCACGAAAGAGAGAGAAAGAGTGTGTGTGTGTGTGCGTGCGTGCGTGCGTGTGTGTGTGTGTGTGTGTGTGTGTGATAGATATATAGATAGATAGATAGATAGATAGACAGATAGATAGATAGATAGATAGATAGATAGATAGATAGACAGATAGATAGATAGAGAGAGTGAGGATGAGAGAGCGTGAGTGAGACAGAGAGCATAACAGTTACCTGCTCCATCCAGCCGCTCTCCTCCACAGCACTGTAGAAATGACTAGACTCACTGCCTGCTTCTGGTGGCGCACACGCACGCACCAGCTTGCGGAAGCTGTGGCGGATGGCACGCACATCCGGACTCTCCACAGGCAAGAAAACAAGCTGCAAGCTGAGCATGGGGGCTAGTTCCTACGCATGATGACGACGACGGCGATGACAGCGACCACCACCACCCAATCACCATGACCGGCAGAACCAACACCAGCGACAAAAAAAATGATCAGTGAGTTTTTAAAATATCACAAAAAAAAACTACTGTATCCGCAAATTACAGTGGAACTTGTGCAAGCCAGCCCCAAGTGTAGACCGTCAGGTGGTTGGTCGCCTTACCCAGGTCAGGATCATATGAGTGTGTTTTACTGGTCTGCTATCATGTTCAGATGCAAGCAGCCCAGGCAGAAAGAAGCCAGCCATGACACGCTAGTGCATCAGTGTGTTGCTTCGAGCACCAGGTCATGTTGTGACATTAGAAGTTTTCCAGTTTCCACCCCTCTTCAAACTACTGGAGATATGAAATTAAATGTTGGATTCTAACAACTGACAGTGGGCTGTGTGACTGCAAAGTGCACTTTATTCCCGTAGCTATGCAGAAGACGTTACTTCAGTAACGTCTGGCGCTAGCCAGGGTCCACACAGCTTTAATTTGGTGTTTGTTTGTGTGTTTGTTTGTGTCACGCCTGGCGCTATCCGTATCTGACGGCAAAAAAGCATAGGATGTTATAAATTTTTCAATTCTCCTTTTTTCAGGCATATCCTGGGATTCGAACCCGCACTATCGCCCTACATGCATTCCCCCATACACTTCGCATTCATACCCATTCTTCCAAGTTGCGTTACGTTATTATCTTGCGTTTGAAAGCCCTATTTGAATATTGCGGGAAGCTGTATGTGGCCAGCTGTGTTTGATGGTACGGTACGGTACGGGAGACGGTGTCGTATTACCCTCGATCGTACCTGTCCCGTCCCTATCCCCTACCGTACCGTGCCATCAAAGACGGCTGGCCACAATGCATATAACTCAAATAGGGCTTTCAAATGCAAGATCACAATGTGAAACAACTTGGAAGAATTAGTATGTATGCGAAGTGCATCGGGGGATGAATGCAGGGCGCGCGATAGTGCGGGTTCGAATCCCAGGTTATGTCTAAAAAAAAGGAATTTTTTAAAGAATTTATAACATCCCTATGCTTTTTTTTTGTCTAGGTCATCAAGGCAAAAAAGCATAGCGTAGGGCCCTGAGCTTCCAAGCTCTCTCGTTTATCCCCCCCCCCCCCCCCCCACACACACACAGACACAGACACACACCAGAACACAACATCGCAGCCTAAGATGTCATGCATGCTACTCTTACCTCTGACAGTGGCTTGCTGCCTATAATGTAGAGAGGGCAAACATCGGACGGTGCCAAAACCGAGGAACTCGCCTCAGTGGCCTGAGTCAGGAGAGGCTCGCGGATCCTGTGTAGATGACCATAAGAGCGGTGACGCACACACAGTAGAAGTAACACAAGCACACAGCACAGAAGGAATACAGCAAACAGGGGTAATCAGTCATACGGATACATCAGAATACACGTATTGCAAGGGACTTGACAAACACGCCTTCAAGTGGTGGCACTAAAACAAAATACTTCAAAAATTAAATTTCTTAAATCCTAACAGTACTCCCATCAAAGAAAACCTCCCAAACTCGTCAAGCATACACATTCCCTTCATAGGGGTCATCTCAAAATCCCGAAACTTTCTTCCAAAAGAAGTTTCAAGCAGCAGCTACTGTATGCTCGGAGGGGGTGGTGGCCTGTTCGCTCTGAGTGCCAGTAAGAAAGTCAAACTGTGCACTGCACTGTGCGCAACAGTATGTGTATGGTGTTAAGTGCCTGTTCATATGGAGTAGGTAAAGGCTATACTATACGAACACGGTTCGTTTGGAGGAATGTTTGGCACTACAACAAATAGGTGCCGAAGATAGAAATCAATACAGAGTTTGATGAATTTCGTTTTAACTGCAAAAATGATGGGTGGGTCTATGGGTGGGAGCTGAGAAATACTAAAACCTTCTCGCTCTAAGAAAGAAAACAATTGGTAACCCATGAAGTGCATTGAATTGCCGGAAGAGGAAAGCAACAATACAAATTGCGTAGCCAAAGCAGATAATCAAGATCAATCTTTAAAATCAAATAATCAGTATGGCTTACATCAATCCGTCATCGCGCCCCCAACTCGACTGCATAGGCGACACGTCCTTGGCCGGAGCGGACGCCAACACTGTATGACAGACAACAGTCACAACACCCAAAACAACAAACCCCAAAGAGACTCCAGAGATTGCAGTGGTTTGGATACGGGGTGTGGCCTGGACATCTCTCTTTCTGCATAGTAATATGGGGGGAGGAGTTGGCAGAGGTCGCCCAAAAATGTCCTGGGTGAATACTGTATTGAGAAGTAAAGGTGAGGCTTCCTGTAGTATCATTCAATAGGCAAGTGTTTGGACCGACACTCATTCCCAGCACTCTGCTAACACTGAACACCAGTTTCATGTCGAGCTGAACAACGTTTTGGCAATTTTGCCATCATCAGGTCAACGTGATAAGCAGGCCAGGCAAAGGAGTAGCTATTTACATACATTGGCACACACACTTCCTGCTCTGCACAGCTGGCTGTATCAATACCTAATGGGTGCATTATATAGCTGCTCCTTTGCTGAGCAGTGAGCGTACTGTACACCATGGCCAGCATGATATCGGGCAGAATCACCAGATGTCTATCTGCAACAAGTACAGTCATGCAGAATGCTGTGTAGCAAAGCAAATAGAGCAAGGGTAGAGAGAACATGCTGCACACAGCCAGAGTTGATGGACTTCTCACCGGGGCGGGATGAGGTGCTGGGACTGACCACACTATCTAATGAATTGCCCTGCACGATCAGGAAACAGTGCACACAGGCAAGCAATGCCAACATACACGCATGCATGCACGCACGCACGCACACGCACACACACACACACAAACACACACACACACACACACACATTGAACATCAGCTTTCTTTACATTCTCTCCGGGAGCAATAATGTGCCACAAAGAAATCCTACTCATGCAAGAGCGTTAACCCTTTCACTGCCAGCTGACCACTTGAGGTGACAATGCACTCCCTACCACACATTGGCTGAGCTGTACTCATACACCCCTCCCTGTGCAGGAACCTTTTACCTCCAGCTCAAAACTCAAAAAGCCAACTTTCCCATGGATTTGTTGATACATCCTGTACGGATACACCTTTCCAAGTAAAGGTATACATGAACACTTTCGATGCAAAATGCTATACGTGCCCAGGGTTCTAGCCAAAATGCTATACGTGCCCAGGGTTCTAGCCAAAATGCTATACGTGCCCAGGGTTCTAGCCAAAATGCTATACGTGCCCAGGGTTCTAGCCAAAATGCTATACGTGCCCAGGGTTCTAGCCAAAATGCTATACGTGCCCAGGGTTCTAGCCAAAATGCTATACGTGCCCAGGGTTCTAGCCAAAATGCTATACGTGCCCAGGGTTCTAGCCAAAATGCTATACGTGCCCAGGGTTCTAGCCAAAATGCTATACGTGCCCAGGGTTCTAGCCAAAATGCTATACGTGCCCAGGGTTCTAGCCAAAATGCTATACGTGCCCAGGGTTCTAGCCAAAATGCTATACGTGCCCAGGGTTCTAGCCAAAATGCTATACGTGCCCAGGGTTCTAGCCAAAATGCTATACGTGCCCAGGGTTCTAGCCAAAATGCTATACGTGCCCAGGGTTCTAGCCAAAATGCTATACGTGCCCAGGGTTCTAGCCAAAATGCTATACGTGCCCAGGGTTCTAGCCAAAATGCTATACGTGCCCAGGGTTCTAGCCAAAATGCTATACGTGCCCAGGGTTCTAGCCAAAATGCTATACGTGCCCAGGGTTCTAGCCAAAATGCTATACGTGCCCAGGGTTCTAGCCAAAATGCTATACGTGCCCAGGGTTCTAGCCAAAATGCTATACGTGCCCAGGGTTCTAGCCAAAATGCTATACGTGCCCAGGGTTCCAGCCAAATGGGGCGCAGCCTCGTGGACCTATGGAAGAAGGGCCAGCGACATCTCGATCAGTTCCGGCTCGCGTGGAGAAACGAATATCTACTCAGCCTGCGAGAATCCCACTCGTCGTCCTTCAGGCAGTCAAGAACTCGCTGATCAATGTTCCTGAGGGCTGCGGATGTCGTCTTGATCAAGGATGAATTGCCTTGAGGCCACTGACACCTTGGACGAATCCAAAAAGTCCACACCAGCAGTGATGACAACACCCGCTCAGCCACCGTCGCCACTTCTGACAAACGTACTGCCGAGCGGCCAGTGAGTCTACTGTGTCCACTTGAGACCAGCAGTAACGTGAGTTCAGAATCCTCAGCCGCCACAGCTCAGCCGACTAGCGCACCCAGTGCAGTTGCACCGCCGAAGCGACCAAGTGTCGACGCTAGCAACGTGGTCAGTACAAGACCGACACAAGTCGATGTATGATACACCATTGGGTTCCTTGCATGAAACCCTACAACTTCAGCCGATGATGTCAAACCTTTGTGCACTTCAATGTTACACAAGACATCACAATTGTCTGCTCTGGCTGGCGGACTGTGTAGCTCTCTCGCTACTGTGCTGCTGTGTAATAATTCATATACATGTATCAAGCCAATACCTCTGCTAGCTAATATCTCTGTTACACTCAGGGAATTCGGCATAGGAAGACTTGTGGCTATACCATGTGATCACCTATTCCCAATTCCCCATTCCCTATTCCCTAACATGTTGTAACAGTAATAGTGGACACAGGTGGTAGATCTACTGACCCGACGTTGTGACAGCGGAATCACCGATGTGTTCCTGCGCCGTCGTGGACTGCAGCATAGCTTCAGATACGCAATCACATCAGCTGAAATCATATCTACAGCACAGAACAGAACACAGCAGCTACTGAGAATGCACTTAGAACTACACACCAGGTACAATAAACGCCCCCTGGAACCACACAACGATAGTGTGCTAGCAGGCTACAATGACATTGTGCTAGATACAAGGACAGTGTGCTAGCTACAAGCCGCAGGACATACAATCGTAACATTGTAGTCACAGTAGGCATTGCACATGTACAGTATGGGCTAACTCAGAACCATTGTTTCTCGATACGCTATGTACGGAGTGTATAGTATGGTATGTATGGTATGTATGGTATGTATGGTCAGAACCATTGTGGACACAACTACTCAGTATGCATTCGAAACACAGCCCTGTACTGTGGAGAAATCAGTTTCGGAGAGAGTTTCCAGCATGCAACCAGCCACTAGGCAACATACACACCCACACCCACACCCACACCCACACACCCACACCCACACGATGGCATGGGAGATATCATAGGTACATACTGTCTTGGGCAGACTTGGACTGTGACTTTGTTGACTTGGTTGGTGGACTGTCATCATTTATCCCAGTCCCAGTTACATCAAATCCGCTATCGGAACGACGACTAACAATGCCAGGCATATCCTTAGAACGTCGAAATGGTGCACCAGACCTACATACACAAATACACGCACAAACACACACACACACACACCACACGCACCCCCCCCCCCCACACACACACGCACGCACGCACGCACGCACACACACACACACACACACACGCACACACACACACGCGCACACACACACACAAGCACACACACAAGCACATGAGCGAGTGCAACTTTCATACGTAAATCTCTCTACGGATTTCCGTAGGAAAGCACTTTTCCTACGTTTCCTCCTACGTAGGACGTTTTGAAATATTCTTCTCACCATTCATTAGTTTGAGGGAGGTGCAAACGGCAATTTTTCTCATTTTCCGGACTTATCCATGGCAACGTCCAAGCCACGCCGAATACAAGGTCCACAACACGTGGAAAGCAAATGGAGAATGTGGTTTTTTCTTTCAGTCTGACTCGACCTTTGTTTTTATTTTGACACCACAGTCGTTTCCTTCTGGCCTCTACTCTTCGGCCATGGGTGCTGAAGTCATTGAGGTTGCCACACCAACAACGCCAGCAGAGCGCAAGATCCGTTACACACTCTCGTTTGTACAAGTGATATGGGTAGCTAGGCTGATGTGAATGGTGACTGGGCCTATGTATATACATGGCACATATACCTAAGAATGACAACACCATTGTCGGGACTGCGCCACACAGCCACGGGGAAGCGATCCTGCTGAAAGTGCTGTGCAACGCCAGTGACCTGCTCATCTGAACACGACGCTGGCACACACACTGTTGACGGGTAGCTGCAGTGAACCATGAGCAGACAGCAAACAGACACAACAAAGAAAAACACTGGATAACAAAACAAAACAAAACATTCACGGTTCATGCGAGACTCAGTCAGACTGAGTTATCCACATGCATAGGAACGCCACCACGCTCAAGAATCACTGGTTAACAAACAGACCAATATGACACCACATGCACCACAGGCAAAGCAATCGGATCAAGGCCAGACAAAGAACGCATTCGCCATTCTCTACAATGTCAACAAAGAACGGACATCACAGTTATACGTAATAGGTGTAGACTGGAGTTCACATGGGCATATGGACACATGTGTAGTACATGTGTGCTAGCAGACATCTTTCAGGTTCAATGCCAGAACAAGAACCAACAACTTACACACAGTTGGACAACACAGGTTTCACACATACACACACACGCACGCACGCACGCACACACACACACCCACACACCACACACACACACGCACGCACACACACACGCACACACACACACACACACACACAGTACAACTCATAAGTATACACAAAGCACAACGCACAACGCACATGGCAATACACACATACGAAGAGGGCAATACTCGAACACACATGCATACCGTAGAATCCCGCGGATAAGCCCACCCGCGTATAAGCCCATGCCCGCGCATAAGCCCAGGGTTTGTCCGAACATCACACAGCTTCATCGTACAAGCCCATGGGCCTAGGTCATACCGGGAGTCCATAAATTATGGACTCTTGGCCATACCATGTACATGTACATGTACGTAGTACATGCACATTATAGTTTTTTCGTACATTTCAGCACAATCATCGGTTGTTTTTGTTTGCACAGTGGTTTTCAGCAATGTCCTTCACACTTCCTTGATACTTTTCAACAGCACAACTTGGTGTCGGCGTATAAGCCCATGCCCGCGTATAAGCCCATGTTCTCGTATAAGCCCACCGAAATGTCCTTGTGAAACAGATAAGCCCATGGGCTTATCCGCGGGATTCTACGGTATGCCATGTAGGTCATGTCGACACAATAGCACGCTAATTGAGAGTATTGTTGGACATACGTGGTGCAAACACGGTACGTTCGGTTCACCAGCGACATGCGCCACTTGCCAGCCGTGTCACCTTTACTCAAGCCTGCCAGAAAAAAGATACATGCATGCACACACATCACACATACACACACACACACGTGTCAAGTAGAAATTTTCACAATATGGACTCTTCCTACCATGGTACAGCAGGTCTGCGCAGTTTACCAGTAGAGTATGGTAGACCCACTATGAGCACGGACTTGTACTTTTTCGTGAATCTTCAAAATTCGAATATTGGCCCATGGGCTAAAAAACGAACCTGTTTTACTGGATATTAATTTTTATCCCCAAACTGCATTATTCCGCGCATATAAGCCCATGGGCTTATATGCGCGGAATAACGGTAATAATCACAATGCATCGTACTTCCACAAAAAGAAGACCCCAAATACTTTTTCAACACAGCGTGGGTGGTCTTACATTTGCGCATTGTCCGCGATGGTAAAGTACTGCTGCCTCCCCCCCCCCCCATGGTATGGTTAATTTTTGGAGGAAATATAGTATACTACAGTCCATTCGCCAAATTGGGGCCCCTGATACACTGCAACTATGTGTCTGAAAAAAAGTTTTTTGCACATCGATCTTGAATAAGAATGAAGTGAGACTAGACTGTGAAAAACTATAGGCCCAGGTTTGGTGAATGGACCGTAGTATATGCACTATATCAGTGAATAAGTAGAATAGCATAACATGTACATGTACGGCATAGTATGACTACAGAGTAACAGTATTCCATGCCCATGATTGCACAGAACCACAGCCATCCCTAGCAGTATGGTAGCTAATCCATGCATGATCTTTGCAGGGGAGTGAAGTCCTGCCACCATCATTCCCACGCTCAAATCTACGCTAGATACACATACACACCGGATACACATACGCCCTCAGCGCCTCTCACCTGATACATCCAGTCTTAAACGGCCATATTCCTTATCCAGGCCGGAATCGGCATTGGCAACTGTCCACCTATCACCGCGTCGCATTACCTTTGGTGCAGAGTCAGCTGGTACAATAGATGAGTCCGGATCGTGTTTCAGTGATTGATTCCTGCACGAGCACAGGGGAGAGAGGGCAAAGAACAATGTGAGCACCATAGCTCAGTAAATAAGTGCTATCTATCATATGGGCCGCGATCAGCTAAAACATGTCTTTGGGGTTTCGTAAAAAAGTTGAGAAATGACGAAATGAAAAGAAATGTTTTTTCGAGCCCGTTCACTCTGCACTTCGTTCATGATGTGGAGATCATCTTCTCAAATTTTGATCAAACACTTGTTTGGCGGTCTAGTTCAAGTAGCTGGCGAGCAAAGACTGACAATGTTCGTATCTAGTGACACTAGAGCAGCTCGCAGGGCCAGACGATCGCTGTGCATGGCCCAGGTTTGGTCAGGTGTCAGCAAGTCTGTGGCGGCGGGTCTGCAGAGCGACGCTGACAATTTGCTGGGATCTCAGTGATGTTGATGTCGACAGCGAAGCTGAATCGTCCCCATCGTCTCCAGTAGCGAAGAGGCACAAGTTGTGGGCGAGTACATAATCATTAGGCGGCGAATCGGCTGCCTTACGACGTTACTTGCCATGCCTTTCAGCTCTCATGAGTCGTCTGACGCAGTCTCGAAAGCGCAGGCGACGATTGAAAGTGTCACTGCCAGAATCGAAAGAGTACGCAAGTGCAACGCCTCCCAGAGCATCGGGGTGCTTTCCAGGAAGAACTTGGGCCATGCCTTTGAACTGATGTCGTTGACATGCTCAAGTCTGTGTCAGCATCTTTAGTTCCGTTGTATTGTGCTCCGCCACAAAAGCCACTAAGTAATAGTTTGTCTCTTTGTGTCATACTGCGCGAAAACTGTCATTTTCTATTTCAAAGTGCATATTTTGAAAGCGGTGTTTGGAGCACTTGTAGACTACTTTTCTGCCCTGTATCACCTTCAAGAGGTCAAGTAAGGTCCCAAGAACTGTTTTCTGGAGGAAAACAAAATTTGAAAAATTTCACTCTAAGACATGTTTTAGCTGGTTGTGGCCCATATAATCTATACCTTGGTCACACATTTCAGTCAGTCTCTGTTGCATTGCGAAAGCTCTTTAGATGCTAGAGGGAATTCATACATTCACACCGCGGTTTGAGAACACGCTACTACGGAAGTCTGCACGGAACTCTCTCGCAGGCTATGTTCTTAGCTGTAACTGTACCTGTGCTGTAAACGATGGGAAGACGGCCTGTCTTTGCTGTAGCAGAAGAGGCGATCGGAAATCGACGGGAAACGCATCTGCTCCAGCAACACGATGATGCGATCAACCTCCATTGTGGAGACATTGGAACTGAAGCACAGTCGCATTACCTAATCAAGTCAACAACATGTGATACAAAACACAGAGTGTGCATGTCAGCAAATCTGCTGCTTCAAAGAAGACTTTCCATCGACATCTACACACCCCAAACCCACTTGAAGTACACGTACAGTCAAAATCACTTAAAATACATGTGTCCTGGTGCACGTGGACCAATTTGTACCAAAGTCAATTTACTGCTCCAGCTTCTACTTGCACCATACGTAAAGAGTGGGAAAAGACATCAAATATTCATTAGTTGAGGGAAGGGAAAAGGAAGAAGTCTGAAGAAAAAATTGACTGTCAAATCAGGGACCTTCGCTCGAGGCCAACGGTGCGCTAACCACTGAGCTATGGGGTAGCTGTCATCCCACCAGCGACCGTTCAACACTCTCTTCAGACACCAACACAGTACACTGCAACACAGTACACAGAGTATACGGTACCTGAAAGGTAGTGGACTGGACCAGGAGGCCATCACTGCCGAACGGTAAACCAGTCAGCGAGAGTTTCTTCGGCTGGAAAATGGCAGCCAGCGGCATGGTTCGCGTGATCATACCATCGCCAGCTGTAGCAACACAAAACAGAGATGACAGGGTGTGATGACTTGATATACACCAAACAAACTGTACACACGCCACTTCAAACTTGATAGCAATCATTTCTATGACTTTCACCATAAACTACTGAAAGTTACTACGGAGGTTTAGCATCATCAATTTCGCGTTTGAGGTTGGGGAAAAAATTTAGTTTGTGAAGCGGATTGCAAACTTTCACACTTTCGTTCGGAAAAGCAGTCGAAACATGAATCGCGGATTCATGTATGGACAGTCAGCATTTACTATGCTGTGCTGTCTGTACATATGTACGACCTGTCAACGTCATGCATGTGTGAATTCTGTTTGCTAATCCTCATCATAAAGTGAATTTCGTCACTGAGTTCGACTTTCATTGGAGTGCGAGCACGAACGCGGAATTCGTCAAGTAATCATCATGTTAACCCAAATCTGAGTTGGGGACACTCGAGGTACATCCCACTGTTTTCATATGACATTGTATCGTGCACAGCATGCAGTAATCCAGAACTACAGTCATGTGAACAAGTACACAGACTCACAGAGGGCATGCTCTGATCTTGACTACATTTATTTCTCTGAGGGAAAGTAATTATTGTAAACGGCAAAAGTCATGTTCCAATAGACCGATTGCGAATACATCATGCCGTACACGTCAGGATTCGGGCAGTGGTCGTGAAGGGTGTCAATTTTTCATTTTTCGCTTTCAGTCAAGGCATTTGGCATGAAGATAGCAATATTGTTGTCTCTGAAGTCTGCTTTTATTTCTTGCATCGTCGTTTTGCGTGGTTCTGCTTTCATCGAGGCATGCCTCACCACTGTTGTGTGCCGTTTTGTGCGAACAACAGTTCGAAATCAGATGGAGTGTCGTATTTTAGCTTTACCGACCGAGAAAAGAAGCCCGATGTATTTCAGAATTGGATTTCTGCTATTCGTCGAGATAATGGAGAGAACTTCTCAGTGAACTCGTCTACTCGTGTGTGTGGGGATCACTTCACTGAAGGAGACTTCCACACGGGTGGCAGGAAACAGAAACGCTCGTTAGAGCGACCGAGTCTTCGTTTACTGCCGAATGCTGTCCCTTCTGCTTTCAAGAATTTTCCTGCCCATTTGCAAGTCACAACACTGACACGCAAGGCACCTATGGATCGTTTTAGTGCACCTCCCCAGAAGCGTGCTAGAGGAGTTGTATCTGCCGGCTCTGCCACAGCTGCAGCCACCAGGCCACCAGCTGAGGATGATGCTGAGGATGATGAATCCGTTGATGATAGTGTGTTTCTTGACGACGAGGTCAATGTGGATGTTGATGGTGAACACGGCACCTGTGACTGTGTATTACACTGGAAGACCAAAGCTGTGGAGCTGCAGGAAGAGGTTGACAGACCTCAGGTCAAGCTGCAGCAGACAACTTTTTCTGTCACCAGATTCCGCCACAGTGACACTAAGATCCGCTATTACACTGGATTTCCATCGTATGGCATGTTCACTGCATGTTGCAACTATTTAAGGCCATCTGCAGTGACCATGCGTTCTTGGCAGGGTGAGAAGACTCATGTGGGAGACCAGTCATGACCGGACCTCACTGCAGCAGGCAGCGCACAAGACTGCCCTGCCCGTGTGTAGATCACTGCGCGAGCAGTATGTCAAGTGCACCCTGCCGTTCGACGTAATAATGCAGGATGGAGCACCTGGCCCTAAATGCAAGTTGCAACTTGAAGCGCAGTTCTTTATGGTACTTGCTCGGCTACGTCTTGGTCTTGATGTGGAGGATCTTGCTGACAGGTTCGCAGTTGCACCATCTACAATCAGTCGTCACTTCACTACTTGGATAAACCTGATGAACTGCAAGTTTCGGGAGCTTCCGTTGTGGCCGTCACGTTCTAAGGTGGACAAGTGGATGCCTCAGTCCTTTCAGACCTGGTATCGTAGCACGACGGTGATCATAGACGGCAAAGAGTTTTTTTATTATTGAGAAACCATCCTCGCTAGCTCGGCAATCAGCTATGTGGTCCTCTTATAAAAACCATAACACCTATAAGTCCTTGATTGGCATTTCACCTGACGGGTCAATCACATTCGTTTCAGACCTGTATGAAGGCTCTATCTTCAATCGCAGCCTCACAGAAGCATCTGGGATCCTACAACTGCTACAGAAAGGTGACAGCGTTATGGCCGACAACGGGTTCGAGATCCAAGACCTTCTCGCCTCTGTTGGGGTCAAGCTTAACATCCCACCACAGCGGCAAGGCGATCTCCAGATGCTTACGCAAGACGTTATGACAACAAAGAAGATAGAAGCCGTTTTGTCCAAATATGGCTACATTGTTCCTTGAGAGTATGTCCATGTATGGTAAAAGTGCATTGAAAGTTGTACTTGAAGTATCTACAACCTGAGGTACCTCTCTTGTGAAGTTTTCAGGAGCACATGGTTCTTGGTTTCATTCCCAGATGGCTTTTGGTGAAGACACACCAGAATTTTTGCAAATCCTATCAAAAGGATCAGCACTTTCTGCATCGCTTGCTGCGCACTGGTATAGTGGAGTCAGATGAAGATAGAGTTGGTGGAAGTAGTGATATGGATGCCCTGGATGAGGAGGAAGAACCCGAGGTGCCTGAACAACCACCAGCTGGCCAAGGGCGGTGTCAGCAGCTGCCAACGCTGCAACACGTGACATACCTGAACTTGTTGGCAAACCTGGTGTGAAGCTAAACATAACGGATGCAGACCTCGCAACACCATCAAGGCTCTTTGGACTCAAGAATCAGCCTCAAAGCCTGATGTCTCCAGTTGTCTATTCTGAGTATTTAGTCTAGTGACAAATCTGGAGTTGTACACATGGCTTGGAATTTGCGTCGCTCACGGATGTACTCCTGCGCCAAACCTGCCACTGATATGGAGCAATGAGTTCGCCTCCGGCATGCCGAAGCTTGCAGCTGTCATGTCTCTCATCAGATTCGAACAAATATTAAAGGGGAAGTTAAGGCAAAAATCAAAATTTCACCAGTTGTAGTCTTCGGGGTGCTGAGTCGAATGGTCTTGGTCCGAGAAAGCTGAGACGCTCCCTTCCTACTTGAATCCCAATCGAACTCTCGCACTTCCACCGAAACTGGGTGACTGCGCCCTACTAGATGGGGATTTGTATGCAAAATGTCACTAAAAGCGCCATTTCGTTCTTATAAAAGCACGGATGACCGCGATTGGCCCATATGTTGTAGTCTTTTGGACGCTGAGTCGACTGGTTTTGGTCCGAAAAGGCTGCGATGCAGCGTTCCTCCTTTATTCCCAATCGAACATGGTTGAACGAGCGGTCACGTGCTCCTGCGTTAGGCCCAGACAGATTCTGCTCCGGTCACCTCGATATTTTGCGGCAAAATGTTGCTGCGAAATCTTCGATATTTTGCCGAGCCTGGCACAAGAAACTCGATATTTTGCTCCATTTTGCTCCGGGAAAACGTGTATTATATCCACTTCCCGTACAATCCCGTACAACGTTTCATAAAAATCGCAGGGTCGGTTTCTCAACACGGGTTTCAACGCATGTGTCCCTGAATTCTTCCAAAATCAAGTCGATCCACAGTGAATCCCAGAGATATTTCGGTGACATGATCTCGTCCTGGGCAGTGCTGGGCAGTGCTGGGCTGGCAGTGCTGGGCAGTGTATCCTGCTGAACGGGTAAAAAAACAAGGAAATCCAAGTATCAGGCATCGATTTTACCCAACATCTCGATATTTTGCTCCGATTTTGCCGGCAATTTCCGCTCTTTCAATTCTTTGATATTTTGCCGAAAGAATTGCCGGCAGGATCTGTCTGGGCCTATCCTGCGTACACCAGTCACCTGGTCACCGTGCCTGCAGGGTACAACTTACTAGCCTGTTTGACCTTTTTTGGGTGCACTCCTGTCACTCGAGTTGAACTCGAGTTGAACCTTGGTGTGAAAGTTGTCGCCTGCTGGCGTGGTGACCAGGTGATTTGGGCACCCAGGAGCACGTGACCGCTTGTTCAACCATGTTCGATTGGGAATAAAGGAGGAACGCTGCATCGCAGCTTTCTCGGACCAAAATCAGTCGACTCAGCGTCCAAAAGACTACAACATATGGGCCACTCGCGGTCATCCGTGCTTTTATAAGAACGAAATGGCGCTTTTAGTGACATTTTGCATACAAATCCCCATCTAGTAGGGCGCAGTCACCCAGTTTCGGTGGAAGTGCGAGAGTTCGATTGGGATTCAAGTAGGAAGGGAGCGTCTCAGCTTTCTCGGACCAAGACCATTCGACTCAGCACCCCGAAGACTACAACTGGTGAAATTTTGATTTTTGCCTTAACTTCCCCTTTAATAAAGCGAAATTCGCACATCGCCGATAACTTGAAGCTTTGGGTCGAAAGAGTGTGATTCTTCGGACCGGCTGCACAAGGTGCGTCCTCGACTCACAGAATTGAGTCGTAACTGCAAACGAGTGTACAGTCAACTTCGCTAATAACGACTGCGGATATAACGACAATTCGCGAATAACGACATAATGTTCATGCCCAAAGCAAAGTCCCATCCAACTGTGACACATAATGAGACTTCGGGTATAACGACACTTCGCGAATAAGGACACTTTCCTGATGCCCCGCCGAGTGCCGTTATAAGCGAAGTTGACTGTACAACCCCCATCAGGAAATAGCTGTGGATGAGATGGATATTGCGTTCAAAGGTCCCAGCCCTACAAATCAAGGATCACTTACAAGAAAGCAGGCGGTGGTTTTCTTGTTTACGCCCCGTGTGATTCAAGTAGTGGGTAATTGTACTCCTACCATTTCTCGTTTGACACCAACGTCCCAACTATCAAGCACAGGCGGGGGAGAGACTCTACAATGCTGTTGCACACTTGTCACAATCCCTTCCAGGACGCCACTACCACCACCACCACCACCATATGTTTGCAGACAATCTGTATTCAGCTGTGCAGCTGGAGGCATGGCTTATCATCCCTGGTGTTCATAAGTGAAAAATGACAAACTATGGCATTTTTGTGGTGAGTGATTCCTGTCGGAGCATCGTATTCTCCCGACAAGTCCCGTCTCCAGGAAATGAAAGGAAACATAGAGCGTGTGGCAAAGGGTAAACCATTGTAAACACACACACACACACACACACACACACACACACACACACACACACACACACACACACACACACACACACACACACACACACACACACACACACACACACACACACACACACACACACACACACACACACACACACACACACACACACACACACACACACACACACACACACACACACACACACACACACACACACACACACACACACACACACACACACACACACACACACACACACACACACACACACACACACACACACACACCAGTAGACAAAAAAAGCTGTGAGTGTGTGCACATGGAACTACAGTCAACTTCTCTTATAACGACACTCGGCGGCGGGGCATCAAAAAAGTGTCCTTATTCGCGAATTGTCGTTATCCCCGAAGTATCATATGTATTACAGTTGGATGGGACTTTGCTCTGGGCATGGAAATTCTGTCGTTATTCGCGAATTGTCGTTATATCCGCAGTCGTTATTAGCGAAGATGACTGTATGCTGTTTACGTGCGTATACCACACTGTGTGCATACTAACCAGAGCAATCCAGTGGTGTTCCCTTGAATATGATACGATAGGAAGAAATGAAGAGCACACCCTCCGCTGGAAGAAGAAGAGGACCATCAGGGAGAACACCCAGACCTAGGCAAAGCAGAGCAAGTAAAAACAAATAGAAAGTACAAATTTTACAACTCGCTGTATCGACCGCTAGCTTGTCTGATCAATGTAAGATGGATAAGGTGGATACACTTCAGGATGGATGAGCAACTGCAAGCATTAGTACATGTTTGTGGGTGATGGTGTCATGAAACCACCCATAGGATATACACCAACATACGTATGCCACACATCACAAACGCCACACATGACATGCACACACGCACATCACGTTACACACACCACATGACGCACACACACACACACACGCGCGCGCGTGCACGCACACCGCTGCCACCACACATACCGGTAGCTAAAAAGTGAAAAAAGTCTTTGTGTTGTGCATGACTCAACACACATGCATCAGGATTGGACTAGCACCAACTCTTGTGCCAAAAAGCCCATCCACAATTACCAAGATAAAACTCGCAGGCATGACCAGCAGCCCACTCGACTCTGCTACACACACATCACATTGAATTGTTCTTCATTCCTTACCCACATCACGGCCATCTGGTAACAGAAAGCAATGCACGTTTTCCGAGTACAGGGTCTCACGATCGAGGAGATCAGGCTTGAACATACGCTCCTAAAGAGCAAACACACACAGGAATGCAATGTTTAAATAAACGGTAGACAGCAGTAGAAAGCCATGCCACGCTCAACTGCCTTACCTTTTCTTCAGAGCGACGCAAGGCCACAGCCTCCACAATGGAATCCAAGTCTTCACGGTGCATGGTGACCAGTTCTGTGTGAACACAAGTACAAGAACATCCATTGTCATCAAAACCAGCAATGCATGAACCTCCATCGTCATCAAAACCAGCAATGCATGAACCTCTATCGTCACCAAAATCAGCATTCATAAACCTCCATCGTCACCAAAACCAGCATTCATAAACCTCCATCGTCATCAAAACCAGTAATGCATGAGCCTCCATCGTCATCAAAACCAGTAATGCATGAACCTCCATCGTCATCAAAGCCAGTATATATAGTAATGCATGAACCTCCATTGTTACCAAAACCAGTAATGCATGAACCTCCATTGTTATAGAACCAGTAATGCATGAACCGTAAAGTACCTTGAGAGCGCCCCACCAACTCATCCTTCCGTGGTCGTGCTATGGAGGTACAGTGCATTTCAAAACTATAGACGCGTAGGGTTTTTGAAATATTTCAAATTTGGTTGGAACTTTTTGAGAATAGTTTTCGGAATATTGCTCAGGATTGCTCCACAATTACTCTCATATAGTTTCTAAAGGATTGGATAACAGACGCCCAATTTGGAAAAATTTATGCACAAAGTGATCACAGATTTTATGTGGTATAGATGCTGGCATAACGGTTTTTGCCTAGGTACGCGTCTATAGTTTTGAAATGGACTGTAGGTGGTGTCCTGTCTGTATGTCATACTACATGTACCTTGTACACACGTTGCATGCTGTGCAGTCAATCTTGTACACACGTTGCATGCTGTACTGCTGTGCAGTCAATCCCTACTCATTTTATCTTGGAGCTTCACACAAGAACATGCTTAGTGTGAAGTTAGTACACTTAGGGCATGTTCGATTGGTAAGGATCGGGATCGGGATCCAGATCTCAGATCCCTCGGATCCTTCAGAGTCAACTGAACACTTTATCTTGGACCTTGACTGTTGCCATGTTGAAAATGGCGCTCACAAGGCACCCAAAAGGGTGAACGTCGTACTCATCGCGTGCGTCGTACAAAAGGTCAACAAGCTCTATCTCCATCCACGTGTGCGTACCACAATGTGTACAAAAATGATTTTTACCCGCCATATACCGTATTTTCCGGGGTATAAGCCGCACCCCCCTTTTTGAGGCAAAATATTGACTAAAAGTTGTTATTCGGAGTATAAGCCGCACCCACAAACCAAGATTTTTCACACTCATTGACAAATGGCCTTTCTACAAATTTATTATGGTTATGGAGCTAAATACCATGTTAGATCAGATTATGAAGTGTTAGTGCACCACAGGTTGCTGCAGAGATGGTGGTGTATTGCTGTGTTGACTACAGATCACTCCATGTCATCTGCACTATCTTCAGTCTCGCTGCCACTGATGTTGATCAGCAACACAGGCGCGAAGCTGAGTCGAATGACATGTCACATGACGTCAGCATGCCTACTGATGTATGCTAAGCATTCATTCGCGCAAGCATATTCGGTGTATAAGCCGCAGGGGCGATTTTGGTCTGATTTTTAGCGAAAAAAAAGTGCGGCTTATACCCCGGAAAATACGGTACGCACAAAGGTCACATTTGGATCCGGTCAACCCTGCTCCCCGAGGTGGGTTGACTGGATCCAAATCCGAAGGATCCGGATCCGGATTCGACCAATCGAAAGGGTGCGAATCCTGTGGATCCGGTGGATCGGGATCCCGATCCTACCAATCGAATATGCCCTTAGGTTCTCACAGCGTACACACTTGTTTGTCCTCCATCATACAATTTTGAATTTTCCTTTCCCAGGCTGCAAAATCAAGGTGGGGCGGTCTCGCGAGACGGGGCACTATGGCGGTACTTTACGGTACGTCCCAATCCCAACTAGGACAAACAAACAACTACACTATACACAATGCTGGCCAGTGTTCGCAGCCAGTGTTCACACCCAGTGTTCACAGCCAGTGTTCACAGCCAGTGCTCACAGCCAGTGTTCACAGCCAGTGTTCACAGCCAGTGTTCACAGCCAGTGTTCACAGCCAGTGTTCACAGCCAGTGTTCACAGCCAGTGTTCACAGCCAGTGTTCACAGCCAGTGTTCACAGCCAGTGTTCACAGCCAGATAAGAAAAGAAACCCAGAGGCAGAGGGCTATTTAGACTGGACTTTCTACTTCCAGACAGTTGACAGTTCGGAGAGTGCAAAGTAGATGCAGCACAACAGTTAGCACAGCTGTCACATGACACTGCATTGTAAACATCAATTGCTGTCCGCCTTACGAGGTATCCTGTCCTGGAGAACCTGAGAGTGGTCAGGACTGATTCCCAGAGTAGCTGCTTTCCCAGAAAAGAACCTAGAGTCGGAAGAGAACGTGCACACGAACAGCAGTCAAGGTGGATTCATACACACAACAAGTGCAGTACTGTAATGCTCTACTTCAAGTATGAGTATCTGATAGGTAACATGTAACATGCTGCGCACAGCAGGTACCTACATCTACCCCGTATTAAACAGAGAGTCACAGCAGTAGCTCATGCAGCACGTTACAACGACAAAATTTTAATGATGATCAACGACAATCAAACGTCAATATATTTGAGAGGGTATTTCAAGGAAACTCCTCAATCCGCAGATAGCATTGTTACGTCAATCGTGCACAGGAATACCAGTGTTCGTATTCTACACCACACCCCACAGCCCACAGGACAACACATACCGCTGTGCAAAGTTGACCACTTCCTTGCTGGCATCATCACGCTTGTCATCGGATATGTCCATGGGTAGCTGTAACCAGACCATACGGGATGCGAAGAGAATGGCCTGCGCAAAAACAGTTGCTTCCTCCATGGCCGAAAGCTCTTCTTGACGCGCGGGATTGAGATGTGGCCACAGGCGTAACTGTGAGCAGTTGGAAGACAAGAAAACAAGAGAAATTGATTCATATCACAGCTGCAAACTAAGAACTGTGCATGCACAATGTCATACAGAAAAGCCCATAGTGTAAATGTGCATGCACAATGTCATACAGAAAAGCCCATCGTTTCGAAAATCCCAAAAACAATCTGGCCACAAGACCTTGGATGTGCAGAATGGCAATGTCCATATTTTCAAAGCAGGGACACCGATGCGAGTGCTCCCAGTACAGCGAGGCTTTTTTACAACAGACCCTCACTCAGCAGACATGTGGCCATGGGTGACACCATAACAATTGTAGCAAGAATGAGCCATGGGTGTGTGTGATCCCCGGTAGCCTAATCGGTAGGGCAATGTCCCGGAAAGACAGGGGTGCTCGGTTCGAATCCCGCTCGTGGATCCTTCTTTTGCAACACAATGGCATCACTGCTTATCCAGGGTGCAACCATGCAGTCCGTGCGCCAAGGCCCTTGAGAGACCGATTTTCATTTTCTCGCGGGAATCGTAGCCTCCAAGGCGCCGCACCTGCGGGCTTGTTTTCTGTTGATTTCGCCTATCTCCGAATGGTGAATATTTCAATGAAATTTGCTGCTTAGAGCCCTTCTAGTCTCGTCAGGAGACCTTTCCTACACTGGAGAGATGGCTCGGAGTGATGTAGACACCTATGGCCGTACCCTGGAAAATTATTTTGGAGCTTGCAGTTCGTGAGCAGCCACCAAGGACGAATGTCTCACTTTTGTAATTGCTGAAACGAGGAATATGGTCACCAATTTCACACCAGGTAAGGCATTTACCCATCGCGGACACTAAAGCCCCTTTGTGGGGTGATAGACCAAAGCTTTATCTTTCGAATGCACGAGAAATTAGAGTGATACCTATGTGCCCCACAATTGCACCCGAAATAAACCACGCACAGGCAATATTGTGATTTTATGAGAAGAGATAATTGAGCATGCTCTAAATCGTCATGACCTGTTGTGTTACTTTTCAAACACCACTCCGAGTGAGCATCTACCAATCCTTTATCACTTTTACAGGGACATTTGAGCTTAGGGGATAGAGGTGGGATATTTCACCAGCTGAAGTACTAGATTTTTTTCTGAATTTGTTGACTACTAGGTTGCATAGTGTAAATATGTCAGTATTATGTGCATTATTGTGGTGAAATTCTAAGCATCTAATTATTGTAGGCACAACAGCACTGGTTCATACCCTCTCCTAGATCCTGCTCTCTGACTTTTTTCTTGCATTGCACGACTCAAATTCGTCGAATGAAATGAAGGAGTAAATTTGTTGCTGCCAATTAACTGCATCAATTAACTGCATCAGTTCTGTTTTTCTCTGCTGTTCTTCTTTCAGTGTGGTGACTTCTGATCCATGAGGCGATGGCATGAAGTCAATAGTTTGCAGTATGTGCAATATGCGGCAGTCTCTCTGTCAATGGACCTGTGACAGCTGAAGCCCAGATGTTGCAGTTTGATGTCTATGGCCAGCAGCAATCTAATGTTGTTGCACCTTTCCTTCCACACACAACAATGCGGAATATGTCATGGACAGACATCGCTAAACTGCCTCTTTTGAAGAAGCATCGCAATTCTTGTCTGCCAATAAACAACAGACTAGCCAGCTATAATAACAATTTGGAGGTCGGAGACGCGATCCCGTGAACGTATTGCGCCAACTGCAATGAAGAAGGCCTTAGTGATCTGGATTTATTACCATTCTCGTGTGGATAACTATGGCGTTGTGATCCAAGTCATGCAGACTATAAAATGCCTTAGACGTGAGATAGTGAAGGTACTGCCGACAGCAAGCCAACAGTGAATATGAACCACGCCGCCAGCATCATTCTGCACACCAGGAGAATCCAATACATATAGCTGCCAACTCTGATGGTATAGACCCGATAACTTGTTTTCTTACTCTAAGATTGGTATACAATTATACATGTACTAGTGCAATCTCTATCCATAATAATTATGCGTAATGCACTGTATTTGTTTCCGGTGACTGGAGGTAGTTTATCATAGCACTGTTTTATGTCCTGGTTTTGTTGAAGATAAGCATTATCCAGTTAACTTGCTAGGTACCGTATCAGTCAGCTCTTTCAGCATTTGGCTTTGTGTCAGGGGTGGTTGGCGGTGTCGCGGGTCATTCCACAGTCCGCAAAGTTGACGTTCTCGGCAACGGAGCGACCCAGTAGGAAATTGATCACCGATAAATATACTGTCATTGGTATCACGGTGCACCACAATGGCATATGGTGTGAATATCATGATGTTATTCTGCAGCGAGTCCTTGTCGTGTAGCTTGCGAAAGTTATTGCATACGGTCATTAAGTGCATAATGCATAGTACTGTCTGTACACTCAAGTTTCAAGTCCAGTCCATTTTTTGGAAATATGGGCTGGACACTAACGAGGGCCTGGTGACGTGTTCATAGGGCTGAGTTATGCCAAATGGTGCCATTGGCTGGGAGTGAAAGCCTTGCCCCACGCCTGCACCCTAAAAAATGTTTCGAAAATACTCAAATTCGACGACGGCTGAGAATCTAGGAAGATGCCGGACCACAGCGAAACAAGTCATCTGGCTGAAACACGGAATACACCATTGCGTTGCCACGGCTAAGCTCAATTTTTAGGCTCACCACACAGGTAGCGAAATGCCAAAACAAACGAGCCATAGACACAAAACCATTTTCCAAAATTGTCCACCATTGAGAATGCGACTCAAAAAGTACCCGCAAACTGCCCAGTGCGGAAAATGAAAAGTCAACTTTTAGACGACTTTTTTGAATCTGGCGCACGGACTGCATGGAAGCTGAGAAGCTAGAGCCATCACTATAGTCCATTCAGAAAAAAATGAACTTCTAGCTTTTGGCCATAAATGGGTCAAACGTTGAGTTTTTTTAGAATTTTTTTCTGCAATCCTCTATGGAATCCTCTTCCAATTATGTTTCTGAAGTTTTTTTCTCCAAAAAGCAAGCCATAACAAGAATAGGATTTCGGCCAGGTTTTGCCCCCAAAGCATTGAATTGGGAAAAACCATAAAAATCCAGGCCGTTTGACCCCGTCTGCAACAGTGCATTGTGCGGTTCGAACCCCAGTTCAGGTACCCTTTTTGGACCCTTTTTCAAATTTCAAATTTCGCAGCACTGCACTGTGTACGATGAAATCACGAAAAATCGCCAAATACGGGAGCTCGCCAGAGCCAGAGCCCATCTTTTTATGAATGGACTGTAGTCAGTATGTCCCTCTTGCTCACCTGCTCTGCCACCAGTTCCATCGGTGAAGAGGACGCGGAGAGATTGCGTGGAGCATTCTCTGCATCGATGGAGACCACTGTTGGAAATCTGAAGTTGCGCGTCAACGTCTGTGAGACGGTGTCAGCGCTAGCCTTTGACGCCGTACCTGATACACCAGCAGCAATGGCAGAAGCAAGAATAGGACAACAGACTAATCACACAATTATTCAACTTGGAAAGGGAAATGGGGCATTCGGCTGGACTATCAAAGCTAACGTTTCTTGAAGTATGAAACGCTGCGACAGTAACGCATGAACCAGCAGCTGCTGCCACTTGTGCAGTGGATCCCAGCATGGGAACATGGTCACAAGTAGAACCTTACACGTAGGAGTAGATGCAACGTTAGTTCAAAAGGTGGCATCACATCACATCACGCAATACACTACAGCAGGTGATACTCCCTCCTCTGATAACCAATTATTACGTACATGCATAACTTCTCTCCTTCCTCCTTTCTTTTAAAAGATTCGAGAAGAACCAAGGCACGGTTGCAATACGCAATCTACTGCACCCTTGCACGCATGCACATGAAATGCATTGCAGACGGCATGCAGACATGATGCGGGACTCACGAGGACGGAGCGTCTGACGCTTCAGTGTCATCGTCCCGCTGCCAGCTGACGGTGGCACCACTGACACAGTGATTACAATCATGATAATATAATATCCAATGGTCAAATACAGATGTAAGTGATAGAGCAATCACCATCAGCACCATCATGTCATGCTATTCTCTATGCCCGGTCGCCGGTACCGGCCAGTACATGCACTTCAGTAGCAAAACATGGCAAGTACCCAACCAGAACGCATGCAGATGTACTTGCACTGTACTACATGTACATGCATGTGTACTTGACGTACATAATAGAGTAGTTCACATCTTGGTCATGTGACCGCCTTTGTGTACATGTACATACACATGTGAAGAGTGGAACCAACATGGGTGACATCATGCAATCCATGCAGTAAATGTGCAACAGCTAGCTCTATAGAGCTTTTGAAGTTCCCGCTGTAGTCACATACATACAGATCGTGTCACCGTATACATGTACAAAAAGAGGCTGAGGCACCAGGAAATACGAATGTTACAATTTACGTGGGAGTCAGTCACACTGACAACAACACTGACAACAATACAATCAGTATAACTATCATTCTACTAGCTTTACACCACTGGATAGGCAGTTCGAAGGAACTAAAACCTAGTAGACCAGGATACATAATTGTCTCACCGTCATAAGAAAATCCGGGGCTGGTAGCACCGCCAGGCAAGTCTTTCCTGGGCACTTGGGGTGAGTCGTCGTCGTCATCTTCGTCGTCATCTTCCTTTTCAGCTAGGTTGATGTACATTGATACAATATGCTGCTGCACTGATGCATAGAACGCTCTGGACCAGAAGGATGCCTATCACATTCAGTAACAACAGTGATGATGGCGACAGCCAATATGAAAACAACAGCGACAACAAGAACAAGATCAGCAAACAAACACGACACGCATAACAGTGCATCACTAGGGAAGACTACACGGTAACACTAATATCATGACAACAGAAACGAACAAGCAGCATTCCATTTCAACTGCCACCACCACTGGTCTTGCACACAAACACCATGCAAGATTATTAGCAATTCCCAAACCACCACAGTTTAGTCGGTGATATCACAGCAGACGCGATATCGCGCCAGGACAACTTATGGAACGCTTCTGCGTAACCACTATACGTCAGGGCACTGCACAACCTATGTGCAAAACTGTGCAAAACTGTGCTCAGCTGCATCATTCCCACATCGCTGTGCACGTCACACAAGCAGATGTCCCCCAACAAAGCGAAGGCCGTCGAGTGGATTAGCAGCAGCAAGTACAGTCATGTAAATGTAGATGACAGTAACGTTACTCACTTCCTTCCAGATGACATTACTCTGACACGCAGTGTACAGACACTGCTCAGTACCGGATGGCAGTTTCTGCACAGTACGTAGAAAGCAATAGGAAGCAGGAAGAACAAGCAGCGATCAGGGACAATGAAAACAATAGCTTTAACATGTCTCTGATTGACACAACTTAGGAAACTCAGCATCCCTTGAATATCATTTTAAAAATAAACTAGTAGTGAGTCGGGTAGCATTTTCTCCGGGTATTGGGTTCGGGTAGTTTTCCACGGGTAGCACGGGTACCCGATTGGGTAATGTTTCCATGGTAACACCACAATGCACCCCTTCCCTTACACACTGGGTAGACATGCAGAGTATTACATGAATTTGTACACGTGCACTTTACATGTCATAATTATGATGTCATCTGCGACTTCGGGTTTTTGGGTACTATTCTGTACCCGACTATCCGAGGTCCTCACGCGTAGCACGGGTACCCGACTACCCGTGCATACCCCTAATATAAACCAGTGAACAAGACCTCATTGCGAAGTTAGCCTTGTGCAGGACTTAAAGGTGCTGAAGGAACAGAGTGAACTATGTAGTACTGTTATAATCCATACCACAACATGCATCCACTGTATGACTGTATGTGTTGTAGAGCAAAGAGCTATTGAACCTCACTGCCAATTGAAGATGTGACATGCAGTGCAGCAGCAGACACTACAGGACACATGGCGACATGCGCAATCAGTACTCACTGTATGAAAAGAGGTGACCACACGGAGAAGCAACTCCGCCAGACCAACGGACTGGGGTCCAGAGTCAGCCTGCAAGCAACAATAACAACAGCATCATGTGCAGCACATAGAGTTTGGAACAATAACAACAGCATCATGTGCAGCACATAGAGTTTGGAGACAAGAACCAACATTGGAACGACTAAACAGACCTGAAGGTTACTCGTGTAATTTAAAATGCCTGTGTGCTACCTGTTGACCAAGGCCCATTTAGCCTGCTGGAAACCTTACAGCATTCAACACAGCTCCTCAGAACCGACATCATAAAGTTGCTGCGAAAACACCGCTAAACGTTTCACAACTCACTTGCAGGGCTCGGTTGACCAGCTTGGAGAGCACAGAGAACTGCTGCGCCGACAGAGCAGTCCCATACTTGCTACGTGCTGCGTCTAGCTGTTCAGCCAGCTCTAGGCGTATGCAGGGTGACTTGAGAGAGCGCATCAGACTTCTCAGAACCTGTAGCAAGTCAGATCACACAGTGTATTACAGCAGCAACTTAGCCGGACTTAGAGAAAGGAGTTGGGATCGTATAAAAGCAACGGGAACCTAGAATCCATTAGACAATCTAATTTCCTCGAAAAGATAAAGTGAAGTACTAAAAGAAGAAGGACAAAATGTTACGAGTTATGACTAACTGTCCACCACTGTTCACCATAATTTAATTGGCTCACCATCCGAGTTGAAGTACTAAAATCAATACAAAATGCACTTTTTCAATGAATGAACTGAAACATGCATGCCTAGCAACGGGCGGTGTAAGCAAGACTTCAAGAATCCAAAACATACAGTATTATTCTAGCAAATTTGAGAGAGAGAGAGAGAGAGAGAGAGAGAGTGTGTGTGTGTGTGTGTGTGTGTGTGTGCGTGTGTGTGTGCATGTGTGCGTGTGTGTGTGTGTGTGCGTGTGTGTGTAAGTGCATGCATGCACACAATGTATGTGGTGTGCGTGCATGTGCATGTGATTGCATTGTATGTAGTTTGCTGGCACCTAATATGAGCAATGCAAGCCAATAAGCAACGTATCGTGTGTGTGTGTGGGGGGGGGGGGGGGGGGGGAGTGCAATGACAACAAGTAGAACTTACAGCATTTGCCTCACTCTCCGACTGATCTTCAAAGATGGCATTGAAGCAGGACTTGAGAAGAGCAATGTCTTGGCTAAGTGATATCTCATCGGACTGGGAAGCACTGAGCTTAGGTCCATGTGCAATAATCCTGTAGTAAACATTTCAGCATACAGAGCAACGCATACAGACATATTGAGTCATTGATAACGTTAAGCCGGGTATTACTAGACAAACATTGTGGCGTTTGTGAAAGATCCAGTTGATACCCATGTACGGGGATTTGATATTGTAGGAAGTGCATTCCGTTACAGAGGCATTCAGGTGTGGTGTGTATGTAATCAATGTTAGGGCTGAAACGATAATACCGATAACTCGCATATCGATCGTTAAGAGCGCAATCGATAATCGTTAGTGTTCAAAACGAGTGCTAACGATGTTGATGCATGCATACCAGTGAAAGTATTCTAGCCCTTGCACTCCATCCGATGGCGAATACGAGTGCAATAATGTACTTTGAAGCGCAGTAAAATTGATTTGTGGCTTTGAAAGAGATCGGGAGAGACGCCTTTGCCTTTTCGGTTCATTTGTGGGAGAAGTTGGAGATGAGAGCAGTTGCCAAAGGGCAGTGACAAGATTCTTCGCACTAGAAACAACATATTCTCTGCTTGAGTAGTTAAAATGTTGATAAATCCAGCCAGATATCTGCAGATGTCAACAGTGCGGTGCCACAAATTTCTAACGTAGAAAAGGCATCATGGAATTTCATCATAAACTGGTGTTCGATAGAGCTGACAAGAAAAGATAAAACCAATATATTTAATGATATTGGTTGATCGTTAGGAGTTATTGAATGATCGTTTCAGCCCTAAATGGTAATGTACTTCAAAAATACAGATTGGCACTGGTAAGATATGGGCCATCCGGCATTATCGATAATTTTCATGAAGAAAAAAGCAATTTAGGTACAACCCTCCCCACTGAACAAAAAATGTATTGACTTTGACGGAGAGAATGGATCGATGTTTATGTTATCAATATTTTTCAAAACTCTACTCTACTCGACCCACCCACCCATAAACGAAACTTTTTCGTAGATGATCGATAATTACGGACAGCCCCTTATTGTGTGTTAGCTTCGTCATCCAAAATGCCCGATACTCTGAAATGAAGGTGGATGAGACCAACCACGGAAAGAGAGAGAGAGAGAGAGAGAGAGAGAGAGAGAGAGAGAGAGAGAGAGAGAGAGAGAGAGAGAGAGAGAGAGAGAGAGAGAGAGAGAGAGAGAGAGAGAGAGAGAGAGAGAGAGAGCTCACCTTGGTTCAGGCAAGTGTCGTTTCCATGTCTGCCTATGCGTGTTCGCCTGCTCAACATATGATACCTTCCACTCGTCCACTGTTGCATTTCTGATGTTGGGAAAGGATGCATGCTCTCGCACTTCCCTGTCGGGCAATGAGAATACAGTGGCTTCCTGCATGCACAATTAGCACAAACACACACACGCACACACACGCACACACACACACACCACACACACACACGCACACATACACACACACACGCGCGCGCACACACACAGACACAGACACAGACACACACGCACACACACACACGCACACACACACACACAAACACACGCACAAGACACACACACACACACGCACACAATTTTAGCATACATGCCAGGAGATTTTCCTGGGCAGCCAGTATTACTGCACTGCCGTGTCGGTATAAATATACATGCCCTATCTGTCTAATGTCTAGCACCTCACGCCAAGCTCAGTCAGTCGGTTTCAACACTTCAAATCTGCAACAAGTGGTTGGTGCTTTTCAAGTACATGTCAACTAATGCCCTAGATCATTTGAACAAACTGCAGACCAAAGTAAGACCAGTAACGTCATACAAAGCAAACCAAGCACAAGATAGAAAAATGGAACTGCTCAATGACAAACACAACTACTGGTACCTGCAGATACGCTACATGCAGATATGCTACATGCAGATATGCTACATGCAGATACGCTACATGCAGATACGCTACATGCAGATACGCTACATGCAGATACGCTACATGCAGATACGCTACATGCAGATACGCTACATGCAGATACGCTACATGCAGATACGCTACATGCAGATATGCTACATGCAGATATGCTACATGCAGATACGCTACATGCAGATATGCTACATGCAGATATGCTACATGCAGATATGCTACATGCAGATACACTACATGCAGATATGCTACATGCAGATACACTACATGCAGATATGCTACATGCAGATATGCTACATGCAGATACGCTACATGCAGATATGCTACATGCAGATATGCTACATGCAGATACGCTACATGCAGATACGCTACATGCAGATATGCTACATGCAGATATGCTACATGCAGATACACTACATGCAGATATGCTACATGCAGATATGCTACATGCAGATATGCTACATGCAGATACGCTACATGCAGATATGCTACATGCAGATATGCTACATGCAGATACACTACATGCAGATACGCTACATGCAGATATGCTACATGCAGATATGCTACATGCAGATACACTACATGCAGATATGCTACATGCAGATACGCTACATGCAGATACGCTACATGCAGATACGCTACATGCAGATACGCTACATGCAGATACGCTACATGCAGATACACTACATGCAGATACGCTACATGCAGATATGCTACATGCAGATATGCTACATGCAGATATGCTACATGCAGATACACTACATGCAGATATGCTACATGCAGATACGCTACATGCAGATACGCTACATGCAGATACGCTACATGCAGATACGCTACATGCAGATACGCTACATGCAGATATGCTACATGCAGATATGCTACATGCAGATATGCTACATGCAGATATGCTACATGCAGATATGCTACATGCAGATACGCTACATGCAGATACGCTACATGCAGATACGCTACATGCAGATACGCTACATGCAGATATGCTACATGCAGATATGCTACATGCAGATATGCTACATGCAGATATGCTACATGCAGATATGCTACATGCAGATACGCTACATGCAGATATGCTACATGCAGATATGCTACATGCAGATACGCTACATGCAGATACGCTACATGCAGATATGCTACATGCAGATATGCTACATGCAGATACGCTACATGCAGATATGCTACATGCAGATATGCTACATGCAGATATGCTACATGCAGATACACTACATGCAGATATGCTACATGCAGATATGCTACATGCAGATATGCTACATGCAGATACGCTACATGCAGATATGCTACATGCAGATACACTACATGCAGATACGCTACATGCAGATACGCTACATGCAGATACGCTACATGCAGATACGCTACATGCAGATATGCTACATGCAGATATGCTACATGCAGATATGCTACATGCAGATACGCTACATGCAGATACGCTACATGCAGATACGCTACATGCAGATACGCTACATGCAGATATGCTACATGCAGATATGCTACATGCAGATATGCTACATGCAGATATGCTACATGCAGATATGCTACATGCAGATACGCTACATGCAGATATGCTACATGCAGATATGCTACATGCAGATACGCTACATGCAGATACGCTACATGCAGATATGCTACATGCAGATATGCTACATGCAGATACGCTACATGCAGATATGCTACATGCAGATATGCTACATGCAGATATGCTACATGCAGATACACTACATGCAGATATGCTACATGCAGATATGCTACATGCAGATATGCTACATGCAGATACGCTACATGCAGATATGCTACATGCAGATACACTACATGCAGATACGCTACATGCAGATACGCTACATGCAGATACGCTACATGCAGATACGCTACATGCAGATATGCTACATGCAGATACGCTACATGCAGATATGCTACATGCAGATATGCTACATGCAGATATGCTACATGCAGATACACTACATGCAGATATGCTACATGCAGATATGCTACATGCAGATATGCTACATGCAGATACGCTACATGCAGATACGCTACATGCAGATACGCTACATGCAGATATGCTACATGCAGATATGCTACATGCAGATACGCTACATGCAGATATGCTACATGCAGATATGCTACATGCAGATATGCTACATGCAGATACACTACATGCAGATATGCTACATGCAGATATGCTACATGCAGATATGCTACATGCAGATACGCTACATGCAGATATGCTACATGCAGATACGCTACATGCAGATACGCTACATGCAGATACGCTACATGCAGATATGCTACATGCAGATACGCTACATGCAGATATGCTACATGCAGATACGCTACATGCAGATATGCTACATGCAGATATGCTACATGCAGATACGCTACATGCAGATACGCTACATGCAGATACGCTACATGCAGATACGCTACATGCAGATACGCTACATGCAGATATGCTACATGCAGATATGCTACATGCAGATATGCTACATGCAGATCTAGATATGAATGCATGGCGACCAGTGTGCCTGTGGCAGCATATGCACTTACACCACTGAACAAACAACAGAATTTGTTTAATTGCGGTTCGTGTCGCAGTCACTCGAGGATGAAACCAACGGTCCGCATCCGCAGGAACGCCGCTACCCTCGAGGACCAAACCAGTGGGTGTCACAGGTGAAAAAGCACAACACGACTTGAATACACCATACACCCACCTCTGATCGGAAGTGGCCAGTCAAGTCCTTGATCATATTGCGCAATGCCGCATCAGGGCAGTTCAGCACTGGGCACTGTTCACTGCCTACAGCCTGTACGGCAATACGGGAAATACAACATGGCAGAGAGTGAGCAAGTCAACAATGACATGTTCCAAGAGTGACAGGTATGGAGTGGGAGTGCCAGTAGGAGCATGCATGGTAGAACTGCAACACAAGTCAAACAATTTCACACAATTGTTGTTGAACAGTCCCTGCTGGGATGACAGCTGCTACACCATAGCTCAGTGGTTCGAGCATCTCTGGCCTCAAGTGAAGGTCTCTGATTCGAGTCCAGGTGGTGACAGTCAATTTTTTCTTCAGGCTTTCCCCTATTCAACACCCACAACTAAAGAAAAATTCAAACAAATAATTGACCAGCTTCCCATGCACATGAATATGTATGCTGAGCCGACAATGCTTACCTTGTCGAAGAAATCGCTCAGACGATACGGAGATCCTCGGTCCTGTATGAAACTGACCAGCGCTTGAGAGTCCATTACCTGAAACATGGCCAACAGACAGCAGCACATGATGTTATAAGACACATCATATTGAAGTGGAGCAATAATAGGCGTTTCACACTCACGTCTTTATTCGCGTCTTCGTCTTCGTTGCCTAGGCGATCCCGGGGAATCCCCAAAACGTGAGCTGAAGACTTCAAAACGCAGACGCGGCCCTATGGGCAGAGTCTTCGGCCACGTCTTCGTCTTTTTTGTCGTCTTGAACTCTTGTCTGGCCTATCCGCATGCGCAGAGATCTTGGCGGGGAAATTTAAAGTGAGCATGCAACCTGCAAGCTGCATCTGTCAAAAGAAATTTCTTCTTCCGTTCCGTTCTCTTCGACTTTGACATTGAGGTTCCGTTCTTTTCTTTTCATACCGGTGCCTTTGTTCGTACCTTCACCTTCACCATGACGAAAACGTTTGATAATGAGGCCGAGGCTTGCCTGTTGCGAATTTGGTGCCAGATTTACGCTTCCAATGACAAGGTATGACAAGGTATGTTCGTGGTCCTACCCCTACGTTCTTTCACAAATCCCATTTTCATTGTCGACATTGAGGTGGGGATGTGTGTCCACTCCCAAGACGCACCAGTACTACTGAAGCCAAGTGCCAACAAATTATTAGTCACAGGTTTGTTCAAGTCTCTCGTATGGTTCAGCGAAATCTGAATACTGTCATTTGCATATATGACATGGGAAAATCAAGTTTAGAAATTTATCTTGGTGGAAATCCAAAAATCACACATTCACCTTCAACAAAGCCTTGCATGGGCTGTCTGTTTTGTTCCAGAAAATGAAGACTCGTGTTGTCAAGGAGAGATATGCAACCGAGCTCCTAAATCTGGATATGCAGGCGCGGGGAAAGGAGAGGAGGTTCAGTGAAAGTGAAGTCCACAATAAGATTGATCAGGTAAGCACATTCCACACGTGGAGTTCTTGTATTCTACAGCTACCTGTTGCGGGGCTGGAGCGACACATTAGCGCTGGGGTATTTGTGGGTCCGACACTGCCTCCCTTGACTTGCCTCTCTGGCAACTGCATGCAACTCTGTGGATTCTAGTGCGTGATGAACACACAAGGGGTATGTGAATGATTTTGAACGACAGCGGCGCCACTTGGGTCTGTCTCCAGGTATACACTCCGATTGAGATGTGCACCCCAATGCTACCTGCCACAAGGACCTGAAGTTGCCCCGAAGGATCATTGCAGCATGACTATTGGATAGCTCCCATTAGTAGCAGATGTGACCTAAAATTGTGATGTGTTCTCTGTCTGTGTTACTGTGCATGTTGCTCTGTAGCTGAGAAAGAAGGGACGTGACATGTATAAGCAGCACCGGCTACCCACTGCTACTGGCACATCACTGGACGAGTCCAATTTTGACCTGGAGGCAGCTTGTGCAGCTTGGTCCAACTTCCAGCTGTTCCACTCGCTGTTCTTCGGAAACCCGCAGTGGGGACCGGGTGAGTCAGCTGATAGCTTGGTCCAATCAGGATCTCCTTCTGTGCCGCAAACACCATCTACCTCTGTGAGCTCGCAGTCTTCTACCGTGTCACCAACACCACCATCTACCTCTGTGAGCTCGCAGTCTTCTACAGTGTCACCAACAACACCAACTGCCTGTGTGAGCTCGCAGTCTTCTACCGTGTCACCAACAACACCATCTACCTGTGTGAGCTTGCAGTCTTCTACAGTGTCACCAACAACACCAACTGCCTGTGTGAGCTCGCAGTCTTCTACCGTGTCACCAACAACACCAACTGCTCGAGCTAGGGCTGAACCTACTGCTGCTGCTCCGACCATTCGCCCACCCATGGCAAATGGCAGTGAGGCTCTAGATGATGCTCTATATCAGAGGGTACAGCCTGTCGATTCTGACAGTGATGATGGTGATGCCTTTGAAGATGAACAGCCAAATAGTCCCCGTTCATCTACCACATCTACCATTATCAGGGTGGCTGCCAGGAAGAGACCGAGGACGGATCGGCAAGCCTCCAAAGTGGGTGGAGTTCTCCAGGAGCTCCAAACTATGCAGACCGGGCTGCAACAGGGTCAGATGGTACATGAGGAAGACATGCAGCGGAGGTGGTTGGACCATGAGCGCAAGCGTGAAGAAGAAGCTCGCAAATTAGAGGAGGAGCTCCATAGGAGCAGAGTTGAGCATGAAGAGGCGATGGAGGAGAGGCGGCTGAAGGCTCTTCATGAGGCTCAGCTCAGGGACGTGGAGGTGAGAACGAAGCTCGCGCTCACGCTCAGCGGCTGCAGCAGGACAATATGCAGTATATGGCTGCTATTCTTGCGCAAATTAAGAACACATAATTAAATTAATGTACAGTTGTTCTCATCTAGTTTGCAGAAGTCCCTCACGTTTCTTCCCCTTCAGAAGATTTCCACTGCAACTGTGATACAAGTTATGTTCTATGTGTGTATGTTTTATGTGATAACAACAATAGCCAGTAGACAGTGTGTCTGCATGGTTCCTCATTTCCATTCGTTTATTTTGTGCTACTGTGAATAGTCATGCCACATCAATCGATACTGCTTGATAGTGCTCAATCCTGCGTGTAATTGTTGAAGAAATTGATTGAACATCTAATGAATGTCCTTCTTCATTAATTTTTCAATGTCCTACTTGGGAGAAGAGGGAGAGAGGTAGTTCTAGTTCTAGTTCTTGTACAACACCTGCATCTCCAAATTGTAAGGGTTTGTGGATGGGCATGAAAGTTCCCTCTGAAGCTCTGAAGCTCCGCCGCTTCCCGACAGAAAGCACAAGCTCCTAATTTCATACAGAAAGTGTTCCAACCCCCTTTCTGTGGGACAGACAATTACATCACCAACAATACCCTCCAACACAGCTAGTCCATCGTGAATCATTCCATATACCAACGCTGTACGTGTCAGCCAAGTCCTCCATAGTGTGCACATGGGTCATCCGGTGGAGAATTACAGAATTTTTCTTTCCAAGCAAGTTCGGGCTCTCCGCCGTCTCAGTGACAGAAATAAAGAAAATACAGTGTGAGGAAAGCCGCGTTCTGCGTGTCCGCCTTCTCCGCGGCGTTGAAAAGAAACAAGAACGATTTGCAGTGCAGGCAACACACATACACACACACACAGTGACTGGCTGGAAAAATGCAAAATACAATGGTTTTGATCACGCCAGCGACAATAATTTTACTAATACTAATCATTGACGTGGCGGAATGCGTGTTTCGACATATCTAGCCAACAAAGACCTAATGTCAGCAGCACTGTCATTGTCCGCAGGCACTTGCAGATCACCGGGCACACGGCATTCTTCTGGAATCCAAGATTCCTCAAATGGGCACTGGCAGCGTTCGCAAACATTATGCAATACTGCCGCAGCCAGGGCAATTCTTCGAGCGAATACCGGATCCCGGATAAAACTGTGTATCAGTATGCCCCATCGTCCCTTCAGCCGGCCAATCGCATTCTCCACTACCCGCCTGGTGCGGATACAGCAATAGTTGAATGCAGATTGCCTAGGTGACAGGTGGCCATTGTCATCATAACACTTCATCAGCGTCGGATTCAGCGCAAACGCAGAGTCTGCAACCAGGAATGGCCTAACTCGCTTTCCTAAAACACTGACAGAGGATGTGGATGGGAGCAACGTGTCTTCATTGATCAAACGCTGCAAAGTCGATGAATTCCATGTGAAGGCATTTCCCATTCTGCCTGCACAGCCTGCGTCAATAAACGTGATGACACCACGTGCATCAACGCACAGGAGTAGGACTATGGCTGGGTAGTTCTTGTAACAGACGTATGCATCTCCATACTGTAAGGGTTTGTGGATGTGCATAAAAGTTCCGTCCAAAGCTCCGCTGCATCCCGGCAGAAAGCACAAGCTTCTAAAATCCAGCTCCCTTCCTGTCGGAAAGACAATGACATCACTAACAATACTCTCGAACACAGCTAGTCCATCGTGAATCATTCCATGAACAGTTGAGGTACCAAGGCTGTATGTATCGGCCAAGTCCTCCATAGTGTTCCCATGGGCCATCCAGTGGAGAAATACTGCCATCCGCTTGTATCCTGGAATGGCTTCTCTCATCCGAGTACTCTGTTTTCCCAATCGGTGTCCCACGATGTCATAACGCTGATAAAACGTTGTTTTGTTCACACGGAATTTCTTCATGTATTTCCTGTCCTCATAGTCAGGAAACTGCAAACCTTTCCGTCTCCACATTCCCAAAACTTTCGTCTCCCACAGACCTTCAATTCGGCATGAATTCTCCTCGTGAGCTGACCAAAAACCGGCGCTTCATGGGAAACAAGGAAGCAAGCACGTACAATCCCGCTAGATCCATGTGATGTGGCCTGCAGTTGAAGAAGCGAACGGCAGGTCTGCGCTTCTTTCTAGATGACCGAATTCCAGACAGAGGACATATTAGCATGTCAATAGGGACATGGTGAAGCTGTTCATATGCAATCGCTCGATCGGGAAGCAATTGCCCAAGGCCGCGCCACAAAAGCAAAAGGAAGAGCCGAAGCATGCGTGCTTCCATCGCAGGGCGTAATATTCTTCACCTACAAAAGCGAAATAATGATGACCACAAAACTAAAACTGAGAACTGTTTGGTCTTCCTCGAGGCTGGCTGGTACATGGTGTGGAAACTACAGAACTGCCCAAGATTTTTTTATTTTGAATCTACTCGCATGCCGTTATTTTTTTGCCCATGGACTGCTAAAAATGTTGCTGATTGTTGGCAAAACGATGTGTTCGATGTGTGTGTGAATCGACTTGTGCAGCAAGTCGACGTCACAGAAAGACGCGAGTGTGAAACGGCTATAACAGATGTGAACAAGAAAAAAATACTAAAGGACTATACACCAGGCAAACACTCAAGGCTGACTTGCGTTGGGTTTCGATACTCTAGAACTAAACAGGGAAACACTGCTGAGATCCAGCCTATTCAAATACCCGAGTAGCGCCATGGATATCCGATCCAATGGTAGGTGCAGTGTGCACAAACTCGTCAGCACCAAACCAGCAATGAGCAAATACAAGCAGTCAAGCATGTCTATAGATGGCAATGGTGTCACCATGATGTCACCAAGATGTCACAATGATGTCACAATGATGCCACAAACCTTTCGCAAGACGTCGTCACTCTGCAGGTGGCGTAGACGCATGAATTCATCCTGCAGAAGAACAAAAGCAAACACGCAAAGAATGAGATTCTAACGTCACAGCCGACATGTCCTGTACTGTAACATAGTAGTAGTTCCACAATAATTCAACAGTGCTCACACACACAATAATTCAACAGTGCTCTCACACACAATAATTCAACAGTGCTCTCACACACAATAATTCAACAGTAATCACGCACACAATAATTCAACAGTGCTCACACACACAATAATTCAACAGTGCTCACACACACAATAATTCAACAGTGCTCTCACACACAATAATTCAACAGTGCTCTCACACACAATAATTCAACAGTGCTCTCACACACAATAATTCAACAGTGCTCTCACACACAATAATTCAACAGTGCTCACACACACAATAATTCAACAGTGCTCACACACACAATAATTCAACAGTGCTCACACACACAATAATTCAACAGTGCTCACACACACAATAATTCAACAGTGCTCACACACACAATAATTCAACAGTGCTCACACACACAATAATTCAACAGTGCTCACACACACAATAATTCAACAGTGCTCACACACACAATAATTCAACAGTGCTCACACACACACAATAATTCAACAGTGCTCACACACACAATAATTCAACAGTGCTCACACACACAATAATTCAACAGTGCTCACACACACAATAATTCAACAGTGCTCACACACACGATAATTCAACAGTGCTCACACACACAATAATTCAACAGTGCTCACACACACAATAATTCAACAGTGCTCACACACACAATAATTCAACAGTGCTCACACACACAATAATTCAACAGTGCTCACACACACAATAATTCAACAGTGCTCACACACACAATAATTCAACAGTGCTCACACACACAATAATTCAACAGTGCTCACACACACAATAATTCAACAGTGCACACACACACAATAATTCAACAGTGCTCACACACACAATAATTCAACAGTGCTCACACACAGCACCACAAACGGTTCCTATGCCACAGTGATTGGGTAGGAAGAGCTACTTCGAAGTAGTGCTTCACATACATCCGGGACTCGTAGCATCTTGGGACACAACACGAGACTACAGTACCCGAAACCATGTGCATTATATTTTGTCCGCCGGATTAGCAAGGTCTATGAGAGCCACAGTCTACAGTAGCGTCGGTCGCCGAAGAACTGGTGTGCAGTTCAGGGCTGCATACGCAGAAAAGATACCAACCAGAGATCTCAACAGAAGCTCACCTGCATGAACTTCACAGAGAAGTTCTCGTGTATACGCTGCACAGTCAAGCAATTGCGATAGCCCCATAGCCAATACACCCACAGGTTGAGAAAGATGGCACGCAGCTCGTACTCCTGTATAGCAAACAAGAGAAACCAACGAAAAAGGATACAGTTCAGGTTACATATGGGAATCTTTCCGAAAAGGATTGCACCGCACTGTACAGCATGTACCTACCCCCATACTAAACATGTGCATGTTCTCCCCACTCTCTGAACATATTCTATTACACATGACTAAAAATGATGCGAGCTTTAACACTGGTCCATTACTAGTAACCTGGACACAAGCTGTCAATAATAGAAGGAAAGGAAAGAAAAAAGCACATACAATTCGATGGTGTTGCTGTTCTTTTCGGTGGGCATTGTACTTAGAGTTGTAGATGAGTGCACCACATACATGTACGACAAACATGTAGTGCGCTAGTGCTGATTTACTGCAAGTGAACTTTACAGGCCTCATGGCACAAACACGTGCTGCTGCATACATCACACTCCGAATTGTAACTACTCCCTAAAGAGACGGAAAACCAGCGTAATTACGGGAAGCATTGGGTTCGCAGGCTTGACGTGAACATGGGCAATACTAAGGCAGGCCAGCAGTATTTCTTGTTGTTAATTGGTTTATACCCGGTACTTCAAGTACTGGTAGGGGCCCTGGCCAATGCATTCAGCACTGTATGAAACATGAAAGACGTGCATGTGCATGTGCATACAACAATTGAATACAGCAAGGCTACAAATGTTCGGCCTGTTCAAATTCCGGCCTCCCAGGGCTAAAACACATTTCGGTCGCATTAATTAAACTTTCAGCCCGTACTCCTGCTGATTGTATACACCGTCACACTGAACCTTGCAAAGGAAAATTTCAGCTGCAACAAATTTTCGGCCAGATATGACCACGCCGAAAATAACCGAAAATAAATATGCGCTGAATATTTGTTGACTTGCAGTAACCATTAGAAACCCTGCTACGACGCAGCACAGTACAGCCATACTTTTAAGTATCATTACCGCTGCTCACCTGCCGTTCCGGACTGGACACCGATGTAGCTTGCGTGAATGCATTATCACTGGTCAGCCATGATGGGTGCAGCACCTGCAATCACAAGATGACGGTCAAATTAATTTGCATGAGAAGTGACAGCACGTGAGTTGGTCTCAACCAGAGTCTCAATGTGAAGATTAATGACGTAATGTTGTGCCGGTGCACTTTAATATCAACAGATAATGAATTTTATATCAACAGATAATGAATTGTGTAAGCAGTCAAGGCAAGTTGTGATGTGGTGTGGTATATTTCTAGCATGTGCATGTACAACCAACACATTCTTGGACAGGATAGGCCCCAAGCCTGCAAGCGGCAAGTACACAAAAAGCACGCATGTGTGTGTTTATGTGATTAACAGCCCCTACGCACACCCAATATCCACTCACATGTAAGCGCACATGCTCACGTGTGCGTACACACACACACACACACACACACACACACACACACACGGGCGTGCACACACAGACATACACAGTAGCACACTTAGGCATACCATGGTGCAGGCTTTCAGTAGGAAGCTCTCTGTCACACTGCCCCAGCTAGGTGGTTGTGGAATATCCGCACCAACTTTCACACAGCCCTGGTCCAAATCTGCAACAATCAGCTCCGGCTGAAAGTCCCAACAGAAAATCCCGACAAAAAAAAAGATTAGGAGCAATTGCACACTAGTATGATGCAGCACGGTACATTTATGCTACACGCTGACCAAGGAGTGCCGGTGAAATCAGCCAGATCCGCCTTGCATTCGGGGATCAACTTGCTATCCAACTTAGGAGTCACGAGGTAAAAAGAAAAAAAGGGAAGCAGTGGCCTGAGTAGTGTGTTGATATTGACACCTGCAAGTGACATGATGCAGTGCACATGGTCAATGTCATTGTAATGTACCACATCATCACCTAGTGTATAGCGCATTGGAAGTGCTTAGGATTTCCCAACTGTTGATCAAAGAAGGTGATCGCTAAGTACTTTTCGCTTTTTTGTACCACTCATTGCTAACAAACAAAAAGTAATTGTGGAATGAAAGCAAACACACACACACACACACACACACACACACACACACACACACACACACACACACACACACACACACACACACACACACACACACACGATGCATACCTCTGCTGATTCAGGTAACGGGACATCGGCAAGACGGCCCATGATGAACGGAGTTGGTGCAGCCATGAAGTCGTCCATCGTTGCCGGTAGAACTGGAATCAGTGGATAGCTACAGTAGGCGTGCACACAGAAAAGCAATACGCATACACACATGAGCATACCAGTAATAGCAACTGAATATTGATCACTTTACATGACTGTATTCCATCTGTGTAGAGATCTTTTTTACGCAAACCTACGCCGAATCCAATGACAGGTCTGAGAGCACTGAGTAAATCACATAAAGTTCAGAAGAGAGAGAGAGAGAGAGAGAGAGAGAGAGAGAGAGAGAGAGAGAGAGAGAGAGAGAGAGAGAGAGAGAGAGAGAGAGAGAGAGAGAGAGAGAGAGAGAGAGAGAGAGAGAAGGGGGGGGGGGAGAGGGAGAGAGAGAGAGGGAAGGAGAGAGAGGGAAGGAGAGAGAGGGAAGGAGAGAGAGGTAGATAGATAGACATGTGTAGAGACAGAGAGAAAGAGAAGAGTGTGTATGTGTGTGAACAATACATTACCTGAATTTCAGGGGATAGAGCAAGCTGAGCATGGCACTGCTCGCAGCTTGAAGATGGGATACATGTGATGACAAAAACACAATCTTGTTCTCAGCTAACAAAGCTGCCACCAAGCGCAGGACATTACGAATGCCTGCAGAAAGGCGAGACGAACACCGGAAGAAAAGTCAGCACACAATACAGAAACACTGAAGAAATACAGTAATTCCACAGACACACCGACCTACTGACATACTGATACAGCGCTTTGCACACACACTGGAACACACAAGAACACACATACATACACACACACATACACACACACACATACAAACACACATGCACACACACACACACACACACACACACACGCACGCGCGCGCGCACACACACACACACACACACACATACACACACACATATACACACATACACACACGTACACACACACATGTCATACCTAGCAGCTGGAAGAGTAGCAGGACGCTTCCATCGGCAAAGGGCGGTGACCAGTCATCGTGACATGCCACTGATAGTGTGTGACCAGACACTAACTGATACTGCAGTGCTGGCACTGGTCTGGTCCTGGGCGGCACAACTAAGCTGTATGCTATCTGCGACACCAGTTGAGGCAGGACCATCGGCTGCGTCACCAATGTACAGTACATGGAACATAGCAGAGTCTGCAGTACAGAGACGGACACATGTAAATGTACATATCGGTCATAACAACAAATTTGAGAAATTCCGGGAAAACCCTGGTGACTTTGATGATGTGTGGTGATGGCTGCACCATTTATACCTTTTCTTGCTATTCTCAACTTTTTACAAGTAAATGTTTCCGTCTTGAATATGTTTTTACAGTACATCAACAAATGCTGAAAATAATGGCCATCACAATAAGCAGTACCACAAGCATACATTCTGTGACTATTACACCAAACAATGGGCCGGCCTCTGGCACCTTTACCCATTTCTCCCCCCCCCCCCCCCCCCCCTCTCTCTCTCTCTCTCTATCTATCTCTCTCTCTCTCTCAACACATCAGGGGACTAAAAAATGGTCGCCTTAAGCAAGCAGCTCAGCCTGAATACCGTAGTTCCGCTCATATAAGCCCATGGGCTAATATACGAAATAATGCATTTTCCGGGGAAAAAAATTAGTAATAATGGTTCGTTTTTTAGCCCTGGGCCTATATTCGAATTTTGAAGGCAGCTGGCACGCGAAAAGTACAAGTCCGTGCGCGGCTGTCCGCCTACCGTAGGTACCGGTACTGGTAATGTAGTCTGCACTGACATGCTGTACTATTGGTTCCGTAACGGTGTTTGGGTCTGTTTATTAGCCCATGGGCCTATAAACGGAGGTGGGCTTATATCCGGATATAGGCCCATGGGCTTATATGCGCGGAACTACGGTAGGCGCTGATCTAGAGATGTGATGATCACTAGGCTGGTGCAGTGAGCACAGTACCAGCTTACCCGGAAGGCACCGTACAGGGGATGCCGTGACAGCACGCACAGGCATTTCGGTACGTAGGACGAGACGACATCGACGTCAGCAGCCAGTGTGTCGCCACCCAAACCGTTGGAAGTGGACGAGATGGTTGACTGATGCGAGACAGTGTCACCTACGGTGTCCAGGTGCTCATAGTAGGTCAGCACAGCGCAATAGGAAAACTTGCCATTGACATCGGTCAGCGTGAATACAAAGAAGGTTGGATCGCTGGGTTCATGTGACACTGTCCAACCCTGCGGATGACACAGCTGCACAGGACAACACCAACACCAACATAGATGGAATAAGAAGGGGGAGGGGGGGGGGGGGGGAGGAGGAAGAGCGAAGGGAAATACTAGAGCTGCCCTTGCACTTCCATGTCTTGTTGCAACAGGGGAATGAAATGAACAAATCAACTACGACATATCAATGTAAGGTAAGACCCTAGTAAACTTGATGAATACAACACCACACTCAATGCGTGAACTAACTACAGGTGATAACTCGTAAGTTTTACACATTTCAATTTCTGGTGCATTTCGCACTGGTCCATAGAAAAGACTCTGGCTCAAGTATGGTGTAGATTGACATGTTCTAGGAAGAGTACAGATTATATCCTGAGGCCATAGCAGTGCTGATACATTGTACCCTGAGGCCATAGCAGTGCTGATACATTGTACCCTGAGGCCATGGCAGTGCTGATACATTGTACCCTGAGGCCATAGCAGTGCTGATACATTGTACCCTGAGGCCATAGCAGTGCTGATACATGTACTAGTGTTTGTGGTTTTATCACTTCAAGCAAAATCCTGGTGTGGGTTTGGGACCTGGTGTGGGTATGGGACCTGGTGTGGGTATGGGACATGGTGCAGGTATGGGACATGGTGTGGGTATGGGACCTGGTGTAGGACCCGGTGTAGGTATGGGACCTGGTGTGGGTATGGGACCTGGTGCAGGTATGGGACATGGTGTGGGTATGGGACCTGGTGTAGGTATGGCACGTGGTGTAGGTATGACACGTGGTGTGGGTATGGGACCTGGTGCAGGTATGGGACCTGGTGTGGGTATGGGACCTGGTGCAGGTATGGGACCTGGTGTGGGTATGGGACCTGGTGTAGGTATGGCACGTGGTGTAGGTATGACACGTGGTGTACGTATGAGACCTGGTGCAGGTATGGGACATGGTGTGGGTATGGGACCTGGTGTGGGTATGGGACCTGGTGTAGGTATGGCACATGGTGTAGGTATGGGACCTGGTGTGGGTATGGGACCCGGTATGGGACCTGGTGTGGGTATGAGATCTGGTGTGGGTATGGGACCTGGTGTGGATATTGGACCTGGTGTGGGTATGGGACCTGGTGTGGATATTGGACCCGGTGTAGGTATGGGACCCGGTATGGGTATGGGACCTGGTGTGGGTATGGGATCTGGTGTGGGTATGGGACCTGGTGTGGATATGGGACCTGGTGTGGGTATGGGACCTGGTGTGGATATTGGACCCGGTGTAGGTATGGGACCCGGTGTAGGTATGGGACCCGGTGTGGGTTTGGGACCTGGTGTGGGTATGGTACCCGGTGTGGGTATGGGACCCGGTGTGGGTGTGGGACCTGATGTGGGTATGGAACATGGTGTGGGTATGGGACCTGGTGTGGGTATGGAATATGGTGTGGGTATGGGACCTGGTGTGGGTATGGGACCTGGTGTGGGTATGGGACCCGGTATGGGTATGGGACCTGGTGTGGGTATGGGATCTGGTGTGGGTATGGGACCTGGTGTGGATATTGGACCTGGTGTGGGTATGGGACCTGGTGTGGGTATGGGACCTGGTGTGGGTATGGGACCTGGTGTGGATATTGGACCCGGTGTAGGTATGGGACCCGGTGTAGGTATGGGACCTGGTGCAGGTATGGGACCTGGTGTGGGTATGGGACCCGGTGTGGGTATGGGACCTGGTGTGGGTTTGGGACCTGGTGTGGGTATGGTACCCGGTGTGGGTGTGGGACCCGGTGTGGGTGTGGGTGTGGGACCTGATATGGGCATGGGACCTGGTGTGGGTTTGGGACCTGGTGTGGGTATGGGAGCTGGTGTGGGTATGGGACCCGGTGTGGGTATGGGACCCGGTGTGGGTGTGGGACCTGGTGTGGGTGTGGGACCTGGTGTGGGTATGGGACCTGGTGTGGGTATGGGATCTGGTGTGGGTATGGGACCTGGTGTGGATATTGGACCTGGTGTGGGTATGGGACCTGGTGTGGGTATGGGACCTGGTGTGGGTATGGGACCTGGTGTGGGTATGGGACCTGGTGTGGATATTGGACCCGGTGTAGGTATGGGACCCGGTGTAGGTATGGGACCCGGTGCAGGTATGGGACTTGGTGTGGGTATGGGACCCGGTGTGGGTATGGGACCTGGTGTGGGTTTGGGACCTGGTGTGGGTATGGTACCCGGTGTGGGTATGGGACCCGGTGTGGGTGTGGGACCTGATGTGGGTATGGAACATGGTGTGGGTATGGGACCTGGTGTGGGTTTGGGACCTGGTGTGGGTATGGGACCCGGTATGGGTATGGGACCTGGTGTGGGTATGGGATCTGGTGTGGGTATGGGACCTGGTGTGGATATTGGACCTGGTGTGGATATTGGACCTGGTGTGGATATTGGACCCGGTGTAGGTATGGGACCTGGTGTGGGTATGGGACCCGGTGTGGGTATGGGACCTCAGGCGCGTACGCAGGGGGGGGGGGGTTTCCCGTTGCCCGGAAACCCCCCAAATGTTCCAAACGAGCAACGCCAGTTTTGGGCATTTTTTGGTAGGGCGCATGATCGATCTGGCAAGAATGCCAAACTTCAAAAGATCGTAACTCAGTCAAATCTCGCTCAAATCCAACGATCCAAATATCCAGGTCGAATAGAAAACTCTCAGCTGTCGGTTGGAACAATTTGCGAAGCGCTGCGCGAGCAATGTATCGTGATATAAATTATTCGTAAGTTGAGCCGCGATCTCGACAATTTCAAAAGCGCGCAGTGCGACTTGAGTATCGAGAATTTGAGATTTTCGTCGCACTGATTTGCTCAAATTTGCAGGGACTTCACATGTGATATTTTCAAGAGTACACAGCAAAAAACTCTGCGATCAAGAAAAACGAAATCGCTGGAGCAGGACGCGTTTGGGCCTGTTTGGGGCCTTTTTCGAACCGTCGCTGCACTCTACCGCTATAGCGCTGGATATGTACATGACTGTACTGTGTCCTGGCTATCATGGTCGACCTCATTCTGTCCCTAGTACCTTTCTACTTCCAGGAAGCCCAAGATAATGAAGATTGAGTGAGTAGAACTGAAGTTATGATCCAAACAACACAAAAAATGCATAATTTTGAAAATTTCCTAGGGCTCTTTAGAAAGGGTTTAAGTTAATTAAAACTTAAAACTCATTGTTTGGGATTCGGTTGGAAACCCCCCTAGAGATGACCCTGCGTACGCGCCTGGACCTGGTGTAGGTTTGGGACCTGGTGTGGGTATGGTACCCGGTGTGGGTATGGGACCCGGTGTGGGTGTGGGACCTGATGTGGGCATGGGACCTGGTGTGGGTATGGGACCTGGTGTGGGTTTGGGACCTGGTGTGGGTATGGGAGCTGGTGTGGGTATGGGACCCGGTGTGGGTATGGGACCCGGTGTGGGTGTGGGACCTGGTGTGGGTGTGGGACCCGGTGTGGGTATGGGACCCGGTGTGGGTATGGGACCTGGTGTGGGTATGGGACCTGGTGTGGGTATGGGACCTGGTGTGGGTATGGGACCTGGCGTGGGTATGGGAGCTGGTGTGGGTATGGGACCTGGTGTGGGTATGGGACCTGGTGTGGGTATGGGACCTGGTGTGGGTGAGGATGTGGGTATGGCCATATGGGACCTGGTGAGGGTGTGGCAGGTAGTATGGATACGGGACCCAACATTACTAGTACAGTCAGACCTCGCTTAACCGCACACATCTGTTTTCCACAAAAATATCTGGATAGGCAAGGGAACCAGATAACCGAACACCGGTTATGTTGGATCCATCACTTATGCTGTAAATCTGTAACCAGCTATTTTCTTCCGGATGGCGAGGGATCCGGATAAAAGAGGACCGGATAAGCGAGGTCTGACTATAATTTACTACCTGAATGTCTTACTTGTGTGCATTAGTTCATCAACTCACCACTTCAAGGCCACCAGGAAATGGGCAGTCATCAATATCCTCAGCAGGAAAACGCTGTAGCACTACCGGCGACACATGGGACTCGACAGAATCTACACATGCATGTGCACATACACACACTTACACACACATACACACACACATGCACAAACATACCCATACACACATGCACATGCACACACACACATGCACACATACACACATACACAAACATACACACATGCACATACACACACACACACACACACACACACACACACAGGCACACAACAGAACAAATATACAGTGAGAGAAAGACAAAGATAGTAGAGTGAGGCAACAAGTCGCCAACGTGTGCAGGCTGATGGTACAACGTTGTGGGAACACAACGTCAGTTACAGCTTGGAACACCAGACCAGACTTGTTTTTGATGCTTGGCATTGTGTGATGGGGCTATTCGAGGATCTCATCATGGAGGATGGGGGTTCAAAAGTCAGGCTGAAGCTGGTAACAGATAGCCACCACAGATACCGCAAAGTCTTGTATAAAAGCCACGGCTTATACGACTTTTTTGGAGAAATGTCATAGACTTCTATGTGAGACAGGCTTCTACACAAAGACAGGCCTATGTGTGAATGGTGCACCCGGTGCACACAACTGACCCCGATTCACTTCGCTACGTACGTCACGAGTTCACACGCACATGCCGCTTTTAAAACAAACATGCAACAGTTTGACTTCAGACAGTGGCTGTAGTGTAGCATGTAGGATCTAGGAGTGAGCGTAGGGTCGTGTTTTCAAGCCGCTGCTACTATACAAGGGCGGTTTATGTGCTATTTGATGTTTCCAAAAATGTGTGGCTTCTATTCAAGTGCAGCTTTTATATAAGACTTTACGGTACGTTGCTTACAGCTGAAGAGAATATATATGCAGGTAATCATTGGGCCCCTGACTAAATATTGAAGGGGTCATGCATGTCTCCCTTCCCCAAAAGCTAGAGTAGTTAGGGTAAAAAAATTCCGAAATGCCATAGGAACAGACAGAAAATGATTCCTTCTGGAGGCAGATGTGTGGTAAAATACAATCCCCGCAGTAAAGTAACAGTTCTAAGCCTAAAAATACTGCTGGTCTGCATCGCCTCTAATTTTCGTCCCCTGTTGCTTTTCTAAAAGTATAGGCACAGTCTACCATAGAAGCTGAAGGCCCGAGTCGTACCAAAACATAAATAAACCCAGAGTTATAACAGAGATAACACAGTACACTACATTCAGGTGGCGAATCTTCTTTGGTGAGCTTTGTTTGCGGGAGATCCAGTGGTTCCAGTATCTTCCCTTGTTGCATGCGGCGTGTACTGTGAAAGTGACAGCACCCGAACCCTCCACGTCATTCTACACTACAGGCCACCAAGACCATCTATGCTGGGGCTGGATCAGGAGTTCATTAGGTGACATGTCATGTGTCCTTACCGGGTACCGTTTATCACCTCATCAAGTTCAAGGAATTTATTATCACATCCGATGATTTGGGGGCCACTGATTTGAATTATAATACTTATTAGCTGTTGTCTGAGTGTTGAGTTAGTTGCAGGTTACAAAACGTGGCTGTGCAGCTGTAGCTAGCTGTCCAGTCTTCACCGGGCCACCCCACCTCACTCATGTATCACTGAGTACGACTCTACTACGAGTACATGTACTTGCACTTGCATTACAAATACCCATCGAAGACACTCAAGAAATAATCATTCCCCACATCTTACATTTAGAAGATCTGACGTTCGTACAGCGTCATGTACTAGTAACTGATGTATTGTTACTTCAACATGCCCACTTTCTCACACTCTGACTGCCACGGAGGCAGGTGGCATTCAGCTGCTCTAGGGAGGCTACAGCTGAGAAAACATCTTGTGAGCAACATCTTACAATGTGTATGGAGGACATCTGCCCCTTGAATCCCACGATAATAATTATGATCAGCAGAAAGCTTGAGAACTATTTTGAGATGTTACACTTGTGTAAGCCTGGTGTTGTATCAATCAACAAAACACTTCTAGGCTTTGATTACCTGGGATCGCTTCAGAAGTTGCTGTTTTGACGCCAATAACAGCAAAATAGTCCACGAGACTGTCCTCCATTCCACACTCCAAGACCAGCTGACTTTATCATCCGATACAATAAACAAAAGACTACTATACAATAACTCTCTTTCAATCAAAGCGATTGACAGGCTCCCCACTAGGGGCAAATACTGAATACACAAGGCAGCTATTTGAGGCTCTTCACTGATTTACATCTGGAAGCAAGTGCATGCCATCCATTCCAAGATACACACCAATCCAGAACGACGGACATACATGTAATAATGTTTTGTACATGTTGACAATACGACAGCTGAAAACAAAAATTCAAAGGGAAAATACACGACGTCAGTGCAAACCGTACTGCACTGTACGCTGATCATGCTGGGAACAGGTTGCCTCCCCCTGCACTGCACTGGGCCTGGCTGCAGGCCTGCACTGGCTGCAGTCCCTGCACACGTAGCACTGCCACTGCACTAGCCGTACATGTAGAGTGAGTAGTGGCGTAGATCTCTACATGATGCACTGTACTCAGTGGTACCATGCTTGCAGATCTATGACTATGCCTATGGCCGGGCTATGGCATCAAGAGTTCATGTCACGTTATTGGGGGGTTATGAACTCTTGATGGCATGAAGTATGACTCTGGGTATCCAAGAGTACAATGGGGGGGGTTATGTACTCTTGGTATAACTACATGACTGTATTACCATTGTCTTGACTCTTGAGGGTTCTTGGTCACGACATGGAACTAACTAACTTCTAGCCAGGTCAAATTAGTAGAGGGGAGGCCCGGGAGATGGCGACTGGCGAGTATATACCGGTACATGTAAATAGTTACAGTCAGACCTCGCATAACCACACACATAAATTATGATTGTTTTCCACAAAAATATCCGGATGGGCGAGGGAGCCTGATAATCAAGCACACATACTCGTAACTGTATGTATGCATGACATTTTATGCTGTAAATTTCTTCCGGAGGACAACGGATATCCGGATAAAAGAGGACTGGATAAGCGAGGTCTGACTACATGTACCCCGTATCCCATTTTTTTCATTTTCCAAAATAATTGTCTTGCCATGCAAAAGGATGTTTTGACTCTTTTGAGTACACCAAACATCACGTGACCCTGTACGACAAATGTCCAGAGTCATGAGCATGCAAAATGCAACGTACGGGGCGAACCCTGCCCCCCCCCCCCCTCCCCCTCCTTTGGCTATAACCCTGCTAAACCTGCATTATGTAACCCTGATCTACCCGTCAAGTCAAGAGCACAAAATGCAACATGGCGGTGCCATGCTTCTGATCCACTCCACGTTTGCCATTCGCGCCGTTCTTTCCTTCCGGGTACGGAGTAGATCTAGTAATCTACCCATACCACAGCCACAATGGTGCTTCAGGTGTACATGTATCAGCATTACAGCACTTTCATGGTCTGCTACCAAGCTAGAATGATGACACTGTGGATGACACTGTGGATATGTGGAGAACCGAAAAGGGAATGATACTTTAGTTACAGCTATATGTATGCCCGTATCAACAAGTGACCAGCAGCAGATTCAAGCCTGAGAAGGAAGTGTGATACGAAGGAAGAAATGATACTTGAAGCAATATACTGGTATGTTCAGGACCGACCACACAGAGCACGCACGCGCAAGCGCCACAAAGCACACGCCTAAAGTGGCACAAACGGCCAAATTAAAACACAGCCGGGTAGGTTGGGAAACAGGGCATCAATGCTGATCGCATCAAGATCTTGCACTAACAACTCCAAAGAAAAACAGCAATTCCACCGAAAGCTGCCGCTTACCTATTTATCTACAACTCGGAAGAAAGGCTATACATGATCTATGCATGGTGCCTGCCCGGTGTAAAATACTTCCAGAATGTGCACCAAGGTCTCAGGAAGGGTGAATATGCCTAGAATGACAACTGATATAGTAGAAACTCTTCAGTTGCACTCGGTATATCCAATTACGTGGACAAGCACTATCTGGATGTGTGCTTAGCACAGACACAGTGTGAACAGTGCGAACCAGGGAGTACTAATACTGCCTGGTGCGAACAACGCGAACAGTCTGAAGCAACAGCAACTGTACCATGGAATGGCGCAGCTCAACTGGGTCGCTTGTAGATGCTTTCTTCTTTGCCTTCAAGTTGAGCAGACCGTCGTGCCAGTGTGAACAGATAGTCACTCAACCTAGAATGCAAAACACACCACACACACAATACAGATTGGAAACACGATGAGAAGCAACAAGCATGCACGCAAGCACGCACCTACAAATGCACACACAAGCACATACAGATACTTGTACAAGTAGTACAGATGGATATGTTGAGCAGCAACACACTTATTCATTGTACATGTACACGGTTTACATTACATGCACGCTGAATAACAAAGAACCATGGCAGCAACACAGGGGCATAGGAAGCAGTTTAATATTGGTGCGGCAAAATTGTGAGAGGGGGGGGGGGGGCGTTCGCCGGGATTTTTTTTTGAAAATTGGGCCTAAAAGGCCATAATTTTAATGCTACAGAATAATATGAGAAATAAGAATATGCATGCTGATGATACACCGCATTGTCGATGTAAGGCCACACCAAGTTATTTCTATGTTTCGCGTCACCCGCCCGCGTACCTTTTCGAATCCTTGACAAGAAAAAAAGAACCTAGACGAGCCAATCGATGGCTGTTCTGGCGAACATTCTCTAGCCAGTATGGCAGATCAGAGGTTATTAGATTCTCGATAATCTTGCATTCCAGGCGATGGTACGTAGAAGGTGCGAGAGATGAAAATTTCTATTTTTCCAAGCCGTGCGGTAGGCCTAGGGCCTGCTCACCAAGCGAGCAGAGATTCCAGGTGTCAAGGACTTCGAGATTTTCCACGATTGTGATGGAGCGGGATCCCACTCATCTCATGTCAAAATGCAGAAGGATCCATCCATGAAATCTCTGTATCACTCCAGCCCAGTCTGCCAGCTGTCCTGTGACGACTTGTTGTCGTTTTGGATAGAAGTGACAGTTTAGTAGGGGTATTCTGTGTGCAACCTGGCTCAGTACACATAGAATGGAGTTTTGTTTTTTCTTCTGTTTTTGTTTTTTTTCCGCCTGCCCGCGTGCCTTTTCCAGAAAATATCCGACGCGAAACATAGAATTAACTCGGTGTGGCCTAAAACATGGTACCTGTACAAGAGTCGACAAGCCATCAACAAGGTTGAAATGTAAAAAAAATCCAAAATTATTGGTCCGGCGACCGCCGGGCCTGCCGGACCGGTTCCTACGCCCCTGCAACACTGAGTGCTACTGAAATGACACTGTGGGTAACATGGATCATGCTACCATGGCTGTTGTAAAACTGCTCTGAAAGGTCACTGAATGTTTCCAACTTTCCAAAAGACAGTTTTCCAAAAGACAGTTTCAAGATCAGCTCAAGGTCGGATCACAGGTCTTTGGGCCAACTCACTGATTCCAAAATGGGAGTAGGTTGTGGTGACTTTGTGTGAGCAGGTTAAAGAAAACACTCAACACAACAACTAAGGGCGCGCTCGAATTGTCACTCTTTGACTTTTCGAGGAGTTTGGTTTTTCTGAAGAGGTGGCTTATTGGCCTCTTCAGAAAAACGAAACTCCTCGAAACTCCACAATCTCATCCGATGGGAGAGGTGGATTAGTTCCGAAGAGTCTGGAAGAGCTATGTCGAGATGGTCGATCTGATCGGACGTCATTATCGCCATGACAATTCCACTGAAAAAACTCAAAAATTATAGAAACCGTTCTATTGGGACACTTCAACTAATCTCTTTTAAAAATTTGTTCGAAAAGTTGATGAAGACAATTCGAACGCCCCCTAAAACAAACTGTGCTGCTCCACATACATGTACATGTACCTGTTCAAATAGATTTGGATATCTCGATCGACAGTCTCTTCTCTAACCAGTGGTACAACCCTGTGGGTAAGAACAAAACGTGAAAAGAGCAGAGAACCGTTGAACCACAAGATACATGTGCAAGGCGAAATGCACATCCTACCTGGCTGATCTTTCCAAGCTTCTTGCTCCCAGTGGCCAATGCATTTCAGTGAAGGGGAAGGGCTACCCCAGAGTAATACAGTCATGATGACATTTGTAACGAGACATGTCACCTGCCCGTGCGAAATGCCGTGCGCAACCCTTTCATTGTACAGTTGCACTCGATGAAATCTAACCCAAAGTGCAAAACTGGTGCCCTGGACCAGTTCTGATTACATCATTGTATTTGTGCATGTGTCCGTCCAGCCGCATTCATGCCACTTCCAATTCCCTGGGCGTCAAGGGCCGTGCAAGGTGAGGGTGCCAAAAATGCACCCTGGGTCGGATTTCACCGAGCGCAACTGTAGTTGAGAATGTACGTGCAGAAGCTAACACTTACCGCCGCTCTGCTCGTCGACATATTGACCTTGACATGTGAAGAGCAGTCGCTGCCTTCCCACCAGACTGAATGAAGAGAGCAAACACACTGCACGTGTCTTCACTTGAATTCAAACGCCAACCAGTGGAACAATGAAAAGGCAACAATTTCCCATCGGTGCCAATAGACCCCAAGACGTACCGGCAAGATGAAGTTCTTGAGCGGCGGGAGAACTTCATCCATCTCATCAATCCACTTCTCCAGCTGTTTTACACGTTCCTCGGGGAAAGCTGTCCGCACTACACCACAGCAGGACATAGAAATTAAACACCAGAACTCAGTATGGCAGAGCGCAAAATAATGGCTGGACATCGGACATTATCCGGCCGTTTTTTTGGGGTTTTTTTACGGGGAGGGAGGAATGCCCCTGTATACTATGCAGGGGCATCCCTCCCCCCCCCCCCCCCTCATAATATCCAAGCTCAGAAGAAAATAAATAACACAAGCCATACAAGAGGAGAGGGACTAATGTCAATGCTATCACTTCAGTTTTTCTGATTATATCGGCAAACCGGTGTCAGCACACATGTGCTCGCTATGTTCTGCATAGACAACCAGGGAAGTGTAATGAGCTACAGTGACGTTAGTAAGTTAGTTGTGTACCAAGACTCGAGTATGCAATAATTGTTGAGGGTGGGGGCTACAGAAGCTTATTAGTTATAGCATCCAAGAAAGGAGTCATTCGCATTTTCAAACGGATTAGTGAAGAAGTGGTACCCACAGCGCAATTGTCTTTTCACCATACACCTTGAGGCTGCCCAAAAGAGATCTTGAAGCCAAGATAACACTTGGCCTGCTCTCGATATTTCTCAAGCTATTCAGTTCACTCTGGCTTTCACAGATGATGTTGACTTTGAGAACCGATCCCTGCAAGTCAATGGCCTGAAAACGGTATGTACATGTACATACAAGTTGTATATCAATTACACACCTAAGCGAGCTGAAGAACAGTGGAGTCACGTAGGAAAGCTTAGGTCCCTCATAGGTGACACTGAGCATGTCAACCATCGGCTGCAGCTAGCATCTACAGTTTGCAGGTGTATTCGGTGAATCTGGACCCGGGGACACTTGGTCAATTTTCGTCTGATGATAGATTCAGTTCGTGAAACTCAGAGTTACGAAACCACAACTGCTCGTTCTCCTGTCTGGGTAAATGAAGCTATACGTGCACAAGGTGTGTGTGCTACCTGTTCTAATCTACAACATGGCCGCCGCATGGGGTCTCAGCCAGCCTCAGCTAAACCCCATTGATGAATTGTATATATTACATCTGTAATATAAACGCGAATTGAATTTTGTGGCGGCTACCCATCACCGCTAACGTACATGAATTTGCATGGAGAGGATGCTTTCAGCAGAGAGACATGCATAGGGTATTACGTGCATGGGCTATTACATAAGACACGTACACTGTGCTAGGAAGTAGGAATGCTCAGTCGACTGAACTGCTAACCTAAGCGATCCTCAGACGCTGTCTGACGAGGCGTTGCAATATTAGACCCTACGTCCTGCAAGTCACACTGGATCTGGGGCCAGTCAACACACAAGGAGAGAATGTGTGAAGTAAATCAAGTCAGTAAGAACATCTGCAACATGCTGTTGACCATAGCACCTTACATACAGAAGGCTATCAAAGTCCACACACTGGTAAGGTAAGTTAGCCGGACCGGGCTTCGGGGCGCCAGCAGGCGTCTGAACCCCTTGCATTTGACAAAGACCTACGTACCTTGCCACTGCTAGGAACCGATCATGACCATTTTCATAAAGCCCAGTTGAACCTTGAATACAGTTACACGTGTTTCTTAAAACAACACAATTATCCGTGTAAACGGTGCTAATCGATGCCATACTACAAAGGGGTTATGTGCAGATAGCCGTGAGCCCAATCCAGTATTGGCAAAACTTGGCATGTACAAGAGAATTTTCTTTAGCTTTACATGACCCGCATGACACCTTAGTCAATCATGACGTGCAAAGCAAGCAAACCTTACCGTTTGCAATTGATCGTGGAAGCCATGGCCTGCCTCAAGACAATGCTCTCTAGCATGGCTACCAGAAAATATAAAAGAAAGAAATTACTCATTAGTTCGAGGGCGGAATGGAAGTTAGCGCTGCATGCTAGACTTACAGACAAATAGAATCCGGCCACAAGTCACACACAGCGGCATGAAGCAGTAACAGATCAGTTACTGAGTTACACATACTCAAAAGCTCTGTTCGACAGGGAATCTCTGATAAATGCACAGTCCAAACACTCGAACGTCAGGAAATCACCCTCATTTGATACTGTTCGATTAAAATGAATACACGCCCACGCAAGCCCACGGTTAGGAGCTGCATCTGCGCCTTGATCCTAGAGGGTGTGGCGTGATAAGCTGTAGTTTTCTACACAATTTCTAGCACAGAGGCAACATTGTATTAGTCATAGCTTTGAAGCTGATACAGTGACCTGAGTTGTGAATTTACAGAGCTGAGGGAAAGAGCATGTGAGCTCAAAATTGCTTGTTCAACTCTAACAAGTCTTCACAATCAAGGGGTGGCAATGTTATGAATCACATGTCTAAAACATCCACCCTGAGAAAATCTGGCAAAGAAATCAGCGTGGGCATGGAGTTCAAGTTAATGGATGGTGAGGTTTTCCGAGGGACTTCGAGGACTTACCCGATTGCAGATGAGAGCTCATCAGTGCAGCCAAGCGCTTCAAATGTAGGCCCATCCTTCGGCAAACGCTCGCCCGCGTAATTACTGGTTTTGCCTAAGAACACGTTCAAGATTGTGCAGGACAAATAGGGGCCAATGATCGAAATCCTGGTACACTTTTTTTAAGCTGTGCATGCAACTGATATGTTGCAACGCACACGATCACAATGCATTCCAATAAAGAGGTTCTGCAAAACGAAAATTCAAATGAAGTTTCTCGGCAGGCCTTCCAAAAATGTGTACGAATTTTCGCACGAACTTTGTGTTCTGCAAATTTTCGTAGTTTGCACGCGCCAAGTGCATGTACGGGATGACCCGATCTCATGAAACTTCCCACGAAAGTTCATTTCATGTTCCCTGCAACTTTCGCGTCCAAAGTTGCGAAAGTCCGTGCGAAGTTTCTCACTTCATGATGTAGAGTGAAAGTTTGCACGCATTTTCGTTTTGCAGAACCTCTCTAATAACACACGATGACCACAGGTGACAGTACTGTGACTGACCAACAACAACTAACTTCATCGGTTTTCATCACTCCAGGTGCAACACTGACTTACACTGCTGCTTGGTGCTCACGACGTGTTTGTCATGCAGAAAACAGAGAGTCACTGACAGTTGGTGCCACCAGTGATGGTTGGGTTGGGAGAGCACCACATAGTGTGCTGCTTTCCAAGCACAGAGTTTACTTAGCCTGCTCAAGCTCAGCCAATGAGGGGAATGGTCAATCTTCGTAAAGTCGAGTCTTGGAGAAATTGTTCGACACCGTCTGGTTTCACTTTGCTTCATTTTTTCTTGAGTGATATAACTGTTTGCAAGAAACAAAGTGTTGATTGCAGCCACGTTTTAGGTTTCTGATAGCTTCCGTGTGCTTTTGAATCGCTGATCCACATCCTTCGAAGGTTTTAGATGTCTGTCGCGGTCCAAAGTGTATATGCGTGCCACACTGTGAGTACTCTTTCAAATAGTTGCGAAGACTGACCTTTGTCACCAGTTTTGGTGTAGATTCTGATAGACCTGGCAAGAGACAAAACACACAATCAGATACACTATATATAGTCAACATGTTGGTGTTCCAGTGCTTCCTTCCAGTCGTGTGTTCAAAACACAGTATTACGGCCACATCAACAAAAAAATTAGTGCTTCAAAATAATTCTAGCCACTCGTTCAGGATTTTCGACCACTTTGCTGGTGGACTGATCAACTCACCTGCCACCGCTTTAGGAGCTGCATCTGCGCCTTAGATCTTTGCAGAGTGGTGGTGTTCCTACGGACGGTGAACACTCCGTCTAACTGAGTCTCAAGTGAACCGTGAAAACATTAATTCAGTATTCTCAACCTTCACTGATGCGACCCTCAATGGTCGAACCAGCGCCGTATAGAGGAGATTTTATTTTTCAGTATCTACAACTTGGAGTCATGTTGCTAGTGTGATGAGGCCGGCCAGAGAGCGCATGCGGTGGAGGGGAATTCCTCCACTCCATCACCCATGCAGCTTGCATGAGTCAACACCATGCTAAGCAACGAATGATGTCATTAAATTTTCAGTTTTCAAACAAGAACTATCACAAAGGATAAATGCACCATCTTTCGTTATTGGGCTGAGCTCTTGTGTGAGGAACAATTTCCAGGAATGATTGCGTTGTGGATGCTGATATTTACTCAACATACCTGAAAAAAGATCGTGGTGTCAAGAACAGTGTTGACTGGCGAGAGATCAGTGCAAGGGAAGATGCCATGCTCGCCACTCAGAAGATCTAACAAATGAAGTGGAGACTAATGAAGAAGACGCAGTGAAGACAGGAGATTACTCTCTGAGACCATCCATATCCACTGAACTATTGCAAGGATAGGAAGGAGCATGCACACTACATCGGCATCATCATACTGCAGCTGTAGTATCCTCAGTGCCAGTGGAATCAAGATCAAGGCCAGTACAGGCACGATGAAATTTCCTTCCTTGTTCCACCTTTTCCGGCGGTCCAGCGTTCTTTTGAATTTCACCAAGAGTTCATAACCCCCGCGGCCCGGGGGTTATGAACTCTTGATTTCACGTTTGCAAAATGTGCTTTTGTTGATTTGAAGCGGGGAAATCCCTGGAAGTAGTATTTTTACGACGCCCTGACCTGCCATACCTGTCTGCACTGCACTGATCAATCGCCATGGCCACGTGGAAGTAGACAAATGCGGTAAATTCAAATATCCAAAATTTGACACTTCTCTTGTCCGCAATGTCAATGGAAGGTCGACCCGTCAGGTCACCGAAGAAATACAAATAGGCTAAAAGACTACACATACTGTATGCAGTTTGCGAGGAGGGGCTTGTTGTAGTTTATTTGTCTCATTCCAAACGATCGCATCTCGTCAGTTACAGTTGACTTTTGAATACTAGCAAGAGAGACATAGCCATAACTGGCTATGCACTCTAGCATGGTTGACGATAAAAATTGATATCTGGATACTAGTGTAGTATTGACATGTATGTATGTACATGTATGTCACATTCTAACCGATCAGCTGTCTGAATGAAATCAGCTGAGCTGAACGAGACGGAGCATTGCTATCAGTTTATGTACTGCAGCAAAGGGAACCCCGGAGTTGCACCCAGACGCTGCTAGTGACTACTAAGTGCTGCTCGTTATCATGGTTATTGAGCTAGCGTTACTTCTCAAGATTGAGACGAATACGAATAGCCTGGTAGCGTTATGGGAAGTTTCCCCAGTCGTCCATTGATGATTAATTTCTGAAATAGTACTGAAGGTATAGAACTTGTACTTGAAATCTGAGAGTGAGACAAAGTCTGTGCAGTAGTAGCCAGTACTACTACTACTAGCTAGTGGCATACATGTATGTATTGCCAACTGCCATAACATTCAGTAGCCATACTCCCCCGGCCCTCGTGTTGCCAACACTGTCTTGCAGTTGGACTTGAAGTGGTGAGAGTCAGTGTCAGACTCACTGTGGCTAACACCTACAGAACTGGACGATTCAGAGTCACCAACGGACGATTCGGTATGTACAGTGCCTAGTAGCTACTTACACGGTGACTCCTCACGTTTTGACCATTGAATTAATCCGGCTTTTCCTAGACTAGCTAGAGACTTAGCACTCAGTGACTGCACTACTGTTCACCAAGACCCAGGAGTGCTCAGTGTAGTACCTACTTACTAGCATCAATCCATCCATCATTAGAAAACAAACGTCTTGGGCGTATCTAGGGGGGGGGGGGGGGGTCTTCCACTTTTCCCGAATGCTTTAGCCCTAGATCCCTAGACTATTCACAACTTACCTGTGAATAAATGCCCTTGTGCTACAAAGGCATTTATCCCGGCTCGACTCTGTACTAGTGTGGTATAGTAGACTCTATCCATGGCATGAGGCCGTGAACTTGAAGTACAATCATGTGCACTAGTGTACCTAATCCGAAACATACCCTCCCGTTGCAGCATAACCATTAGGCCTTGGCGGATAATGCCGGCAGAAAAATTGGCAGAATTCGGTACTTTTTCGGGTAAGTTTCATGCATGTTTGGTATGTGGATAAAGCAATGAGCAGAATTTGAGGAATTGCCCGCCATAAGGTTTGTATGGTTCTGCCAATTTCACTGCTTTTCGAGCAGAATCTGCCACCTTTTCGAGCATTATCCGCCAAGGGCTAATGGTTATTAACCATGATACCAAACGGACTTCCTCTGTATCAAGGACTTTCAACACTCGGAGCCGTACAGCAATACCGACACCACACGTGCGCTGTAAATCAGTCTCTTCGTGCACAATGACAGGTTTCGGTCATCAAAGATGCAGCGAAGAGCACCAAACGCTCGTGCTGCACTGGCAATCAATCTCAGCTGAAACTCTGGTATCGGGCGATATCAAGCTGCCGAGATACACAAAGGAAGAGACGCACTCCACCTGTTGACCAGCAATAGACTTTGGGAAATAGTCCGCATCAACACTGCCAGTACCACGCACCAGGAACGTAGTCTTCGGAAAGTAGACATTGAGGCCAACGGATTGACAGACATAATCAAACACACACACACACACACACACACACACACACACACACACACACACACACACACACACACAGTGACACACACACACACACACACACACACACACACACACACACACACACACACACATGGTCCTGGTAAACACTGCCATTACGGTCACGTGTCCCCTCGCGGGGCCGACAACATGGAAAACGACGCGCGACGGCAGAAAGTCGGCAGTCTGCCGAGAGATCAGGGACCATGTTCAATCGGCACGACGAGAGAGCCATCTCCGGCAGCTATGGATTTGGAATCCACGAGTAGAGCGGCAGCATCGGCCACAGGCCCCACAGTGGGCCTTGCAGCATGAGAGAGCACACGCTGCGGCGGAGGAGTCGCCTGAGCAATGGTAGACACCGCCGCCCGGCACGGAGCCCGAGACGATGTCGCGGGGAGCATCCGGGAGTTGGGGCACTTGTGGACCGCCAAACCTCCGGCACTGCGGAACCAGCGCTCGCAGGAAGAACATTGTCGGCTACCTCTCTGTTCTGATACAGGTTTGCGGCGCTCATCGAGGCATTTATGACGAGGCAAACCACTCCTGGAGAAGAGACGGCCACACTCGGCACAAGGTATCCGCAGGGGCTCACAAACGGGTTCGGGCGGGGGCAGAACACTGCAAGCGGCCCGCCATTCCCGTCTATCCTGGGCCAAGTCATACCATTTAATTCGTCGATGCCCAACGCCGCCAGATCCTTCCACGCAGCATCGCGCCACCTTTTCCTCGGGCCGCACATTGGACGGACAGGATGTAGGGTGCCAAACAGTAGTTGACGCGGGGCACGCTCCTCATGCATTCGCACAACATGCCCAAGCCACTCCATGCGGCGCGATGTCAGCAGGCTGGGGATGTCACGGGGCTGACGCGGATTCCACAGCCGTGAGAGAGAGAGAGACACACACACACACATACACACACACACACACACACACACACACACACACACACACACACACACACACACACACCACACACACACACACACACACACCTCAGACCTCAGACATGCCCATCGCGGAAGCGATGACAGGGAACATAGCAGTTACTTGTGCTGGGATTACACCATTCAACAGCTTGCAAGGCTGATGAATTGACCGCCACTATTTTTAGCCTGGTATCCACCACACAGCTGTTTGAAGTGACTTTTTCTGGCCAATGAATCCCTATTTTTTTCATTTTTCCATTTTTTTCTACACACACACCACACCACATACTCCGGCATACACTGGCTGTTGGTAACCACCCAGGAGAATGAAAGAAAAGTCAGGAAGAGCCCGAGAAAGAGAAGGAAGACGTGTGCGACCATAATTGTCGGGAATTGAACCCGCAACCTCTCGATTGGAAATCGACTGCACATACCACTGCACCATATGAGACACACACACACGCACACGCACACACACACACACACACACACACACACACACACACACACACACACACACACACACACACACACACACACACCATGTACACACACCATGTACCTTGCACCATCTAAACTACTTGAGAATATCGTCCAACGTCAACTTGTCCGCCACCTTCGAACCAACCAGTGCCTCCCTACTACCCAATTTGCCTACCGTCAGCACCACTCCACTGAGGATGCCCTCTGCCTTCTCACTGACAGTCTCTTTGCTGCCAGGGGCCAGGGACAGGGGAAATGTGACCGGACTATACACATTGGACATGTTGTTGTTGTTGTTGTAGAAGTTTATTTAACGTCGCACCACAAACAGGCGATTTCGCCTCCTTTGATACATGTGGACGACAGAAGGAATGAGAGAGAGGGGGGGGGGACAGAAGTATGGAGAGAGGAAGGGTAGAAATAAATAAGCAATCAACCTCAGGGCTACACCAAAGCAAAAACGGAATGGGAACATACTATATACAAAATAGCTTCATACATATATTGCAAAACACGTTTACTATTCTTCAGTCCGCTATACCACAGAAACACACTAGCCGAAAAGCATTTAAACGGAGCCATGATGCGCTTTTAGCAGGGCACAGAACTGAAGGTGGCTGGGCTCGGAACGGAGATCAGGCGGGAGCTGGTTCCACAGGACTGCGCCGTTGAACTGCATGGTCGCTCGACCCGCAGGACCGGGCCAAAATGGTACTCGAACGAGGTGATGTGCTGCTCCCCGAGTGCGGTCACCAGTAACTCTCACGAAGAAGCTGGTGAAGAGGGAGCTAGCTCGGGAGAACAGACAACGACGGACAAAGATGAGGAGCTTAATGTTACGCTTACGACAGCAGTCACCAACCTAGCTGTTTGGCTACAGGCGAGGGGCCTTGTCCTCAACCCTACCAAAAGCCGAGCTGTGACCTTTCTTCCTCACCGACAGGTGGACAACCCTCTCGTAACTGTCCAGTGTCGTGGAGTAGCCGTTCCAACAGCATTGACTACCCATACCTCGGTGTTGTACTTGATAGTAAGCTTTAATGGGACGCTCAAGTCGACCGAATTGTGAGCAAGACTACCCGTAAGATTGGTGCGCTGTGGCGAGCCCGTCGCTCCCTATCCCGATCTGCACAGCGTCTCTTCGTCCAGGCTGTTGTCATCCCTGACATAGTCTATGGCAGTAACGCCTTCTTCCCCGCGCTCCTTGGTCGCCAGCTTGATCGCCTGGGTCTGCTACAGAACAGGGCTATCCGAGCTATCGACTGCCACCCACCCTACACAACCGTGCGCGCATCCCCTACTGGTGCAGCACGGCTTGTACCGGATAGGCGAACTCAGGAAGCGCAAGCTACAACTAGTGTTTGTCTGGAGGTGTCTTCACGGGAAAGCTAGTGCCAAGTGGTCTGTACTGTTCGTCAGATCTGCTGGCAGGAGAACCCGTCATCAGAGGTCCAGTGGTCTGCTCAGTCAGCCATCCTCCACTCGCTCTGGTGCTTCTCGGCCGTCCGTCGCAGGATCTGCACTCTGGAACCTGCTGCCGGATGACGTTTGGACCATAGCAAGACAGAAAAAGTTTAGCATAAGTTGCCTACCATTATTGTTGCTCAGACTAGCCCGCCCCCTAGCTCTCCTCGACCACCCTGTCACCCCTGATACTCGCTTGACTCCTCTGTCAGATACTTCTTCTTTCCTAATTTTCTAATTCCTGTCCTCTTTTTCTAAATGCGGCTTATCCACTCGCCTTTATATCAGTGGGCCTAGTTCCCGTTTATTGTGCAAATTAAAATAAACCAACCAACCAACCATGTACAATGTACGTGTATACCTGGTATACGACCGTCGCAAGAGAAGCACGCAAATCTGCAAGTGTACTACATGTAGATGTGCACCCACAGATTTTCTCTTATACTTATAGCAACGATAGCGGACAAGATCTGACAGATCAAGACTTGCGCCAGATAACTAACTGTCTAATCCACACAACTAGCGAAGCCATGTGAATCGACCACCAATGCACGCCTGGCCTGGTCTACACCACACGGAGTACATCGGCATAAAACGGCCAAGATAGTTACCAATATGTGCACACCCTACACTTGCTGGGGTAACCGATAGACAGCACGCTCACCCCCCCCCCCCCCACACACACACACTCGTGCGCATAGCTCTCCCCTCCCTTCCTTTCTCCCAACACCTTTCTTCGGTGCTGCTTAGCCCTTGGCCTTGCAGCTTGGCGGATTATGCCGGCATAATATTTGGCATAATCTTGGGATTTCGTCAAAAAATTATGCTCCGGCATAATATACGGATTCCACCGTGTAAGGTCGGTATAATCTTTTCGCTTTAGACAAAAATTATCACGTCCGTTAATGGCACTGCTGCGATGATGCTCCCTTTGACGTTCCAATGGCTGTTGATGTTGATGAAGAGGAGGAGGGAGATGAGGAAGATGCTGACGACGACGATGACGACAACGACGGAGACGATAAAGACTCTGCCAACCTCGCCCTAGAGCGAGTCACTGGTCCCGCAGATGTGCTGCTACTCTCTACACGTCATACACACGTTTCCAGAACGTTTTTCTCCAGAATCTTCTCATCACTTTCTTACAGCACCGCACAGTTACAGTCAGGGAGTCGTGAAACCGCACAGTTACAGTACAGGTACAGTTACAGGTACAGGTATAGCTATAGAGACAATATAACTTATAAGAGTCAGTGTCAGTGTCAAAAGTCAGTGTTACCATGGTTACGTGGGCGGGCTTGATGCACTGACAAGTCACACGGTTAGTGACATGATCATTCATGGTGGTGGTGGTGGGGGGGGGGGGGGGGGGGGGTAATCGAAACAGAGCAAGAAGGGTAGGAATGGAGTGTGCCCTTGATCACCTCATTCACACCGTCACGCACATGCAGACGCTAGGCTGCGCATGCTGCCATTGCTGGACGCGATCGCGATCGTCATTTCCGTGCCTATGCGACGTAAACGTGTCAGAAAGGGTTTCAGTTTCACGACTCCCTGACATGACCGGCAAGGTCAAGCATGCAGAAGGGCCGCCTAGGCGCCTGGTATGGTCATGACTTGACTTGAGACAAGTAAGTTGAGTCTAGCCGGCCGTGCCGGGACGTGCGTAGGGCTAGGCCTACAGCTAGCAGCTAGCCTAGCCTGGGCCTGGGCCCTAGCCTAGGGAGGGGTTTGGTTTCACTTGCTACCGCCCTCGTCACTGTAGAGTGCATGTAGTTTTGGAGTCACTGCCCCACGCCATGACATTGTACTGGTGAAGCGATCCATTCTACAGTAGTCTCGAGCCCTGCGATCATGATTTGTAGCACGCACTGCACTGGTACTAGATCTACGTGGTTTGCCCGGACTCGACTCCCGCCTCCCGGATGCAGAAATCGTGGAGCGACTCGATAAACCCACACACACACATAACAGACTAGTCGACTCAGCACAGGAGTACTAGTACTAGTACTACTAGTGGATCTAGTAGACCTACCACGCCGTTGTGACTGTGTACGTTGAACTAGCTACGTGTGTTTGCATGCATGCCAGTTACTGTAACAAAGTATAAGTGCTGTAGTAACTACATGACCTATACTACCCTAAACTAAAGACGCCGGCCGGTGCGGCATGACATGATTAATTTTTAGTACGTGTATGAGATGATGAGCTTTGCGAGACTGTCCGTGGAGAAGTTTATTTCCTTCGCTTTCTTGTTGTTGGGTAACCTGTCCGTTAGAATCTGCGAAGTAAAATAAACAACAACAAGCGAAGGAAAGGTAGGAAAACTGTTTCTCTGACTCTGAGTTGTTCGTCTTGGTTTGACTTGCATAGAACGGTTTCAGCTTGCATCCTGCTTACATAATTTCCGGTACAACTAACTTCTATCAAGCAGCGCGGCAACCTGGTATCACTACTATCAGGAAGAAGCAGCTAGCTGTTACTGCATCTCAGAGTCATAAGCTAGCCCACTAGCGCTAGTGACAGTAGTGTCATAGTGATTCAGCGGTGAGTAGCGCAAGATTTTATAAGAGCGTTCAATAGTATACTGTATAGTGGCGGCTATTCACTCTCTCTCTTTTCTGCCAAGGTTTCAACGGTTTGTGTTGTTCGTGTTGTACCTGGAACGTTGCCGATAAGTCAAACTGGTTTGTATTACTGAATACTGTTGACTCTTGTCTGTGTCCGTGCTTGCAGCTGTAGTACTATACTGCCGCTGTCGGCTGTTATATCCGCTTCCAGTGGAGGAGACAGGACAGTGCATGTGACGTCCACCGGCCGCTTTCAGGAGTCTGAGCCGATTAACAGGGAGATTTTATCTGCGGCCGTGTGTCTGCTTGGCGCTACTGCCAGTTCGGTGATTGGCTCGGCGGTTGTTTTGTAATCGGTTGTGCAGAGAATCTCTTAGTCATCCGGCACCCAGGCACAGGTTTCTGACAGGGTATCTGCATCTGTACAGTGACGTCGTGTGAGTCGACTCATAGCAGTAGCAGAATCTACTATGGCACCGGTCACAGGCAGTGCTCGTGGAACGCCCAAAGGCAAATGGGCAGACACTATGATCAGGCTAGCCAAGATCCACAGTAGTAGCAATACGGTGCCAGCCTCCGCACGCTGCACGCGTGGTGAAGCCTCCGACTCCGGCCCACATCCGAATCACACCAAATCTGGCCAAGCCAGCCATTCCGTTGCCACTGGCAACCCCTCAGCTCGCCCAGAGGCGATGTACAAGGTGTCCTTCTTGGGAGAATCATCAGTCGGAAAGACGTCCATTCTTCACCGGTATAGCAAGGGACGGTATACGGCCAACATCATGAGTACGATAGGTAAGGATAATCCGGGGTACTATTGGCTGCCAGTCGATTGGGACAGGACTGCCGGAAACAGTTTTTGATTGGTCCGGTAGTATCATAGCCTTTCATAGTCTTTGTGTATGATGTGACGGGTACACATGCCCTCCACAGTAGTGTATGATGTGCCGGGTACACATGCCCTCCACAGTAGTGTATGATGTGCCGGGTACACATGCCCTCCACAGTAGTGTATGATGTGCCGGGTACACATGCCCTCCACAGTAGTGTATGATGTGACGGGTACACATGCCCTCCACAGTAGTGTATGATGTGCCGGGTACACATGCCCTCCACAGTAGCAACTACTAGGAAACACGTGTTGGTGGCCAAGAAGTTGGTCCGGTGATAACCTGACCAACCGGACTGGTTCCGGGGGTATAGTAGGCATTTCCCCAAATCGGCCCTTTTTTCGTCTAATCGGCTTTTCGATCGGCTATGGTAATGTCCGAATTCGGCCATATTATGAGCCCCAAAGTCGGAACTCAGCCCAAAGCAGTGCTTGAAGTCACCATTCGCAGTATACCGGCTCATATGTACATGTACATGCACACTGTAGAGGCGTGATAAGAAACCAAACATGCCACACGTACATGTAATGCCGACTTACTTTTAGTCGGGATCATGACCAACAGCATGCCAGGATTCTAGCCAAAGGGGTAAGGGGGGGGGGGGGGGGGCACAGCCCCTACTTTGATTGAGTGCAGTCCTGTGAAAAAGTGCCCCCCCCCCCCCACACTCTTTCGGTTTTTGTGGGTTTTTTTCATGCCATTCAATGAAAATGCAGTCGATAGTCAGTAACAGAGGGTTCATAGAGGCACACCTGTCTGGGGTTAAGTCGGTGAACTCTGAAACCAGGGGAACCTCTGCACAGTCCATCCTTTTCAAGTTTTGATGCCAAAGAATTTTGGCTTTGCAGACCTGGCTCGTTCGGCTTGACATGGTTTGACATGTCCGGCGTATTTTGTAGGATTTCGAGGTTGCCCGGAAACCACTGGGTACTCGGTGGTCGAACAGGCATCGATGGCACTGAGAATGCAGGCTTACTACTGTAGAACCGGAAAAAATTGGTGGAGTTTATTTTCGGTAACTTCGGTACAGGTAATTTTTACCTAAAATAAAACGCGACCTAAAATTCAACCATGCCATGCCACACAGTGTGCAAAATGCATTTTTGGATCTGGAAAACTGGTTTACCGAAATTTTCGCGCTACCGATCCCGCCGAACCGTTGGTTTTGGGAAATACCGAAAATATTGCACCACCGAAAATTTACAGTTTTACAGTATCATAACATGGAAAAATGTGGGCATGCGATCGAGTCCACCAACTACAGTCCATTTCAAAACTATAGACGGGTAGGGTTTTTGAAATATTTCAAATTTGGCTGGACCTTTTTGAGAATAGTTTTCGGAATATTGCTCAGGACCGCTCCACAATTACTCTCATATAGTTTCTAAACGATTGGATAACAGACGCCCAATTTGGAAAAATGTATGCACAAAGTGATCACAGATTTTATGTGGTATAGATGCTGGCATAACGGTTTTTGCCTAGGTACGCGCGTCTATAGTTTTGAAATGGACTGTAAATCAGATTTTGTACAGTCAACGTGCACAATCTAGCACAAAACTGACAAGGAGGCCTAAATCCGCAAGCTCCCCCCCCCCCCCATGCCGGGCCTAAATCCGTAAGCTGCCACCACCATGCCGGGCCTAAATCCGTAAGCTGCCCCCCCACCACCATGCCGGGCCTAAATCAGTACATGTATGTTCCTGTAGATATTGTCTCCTGTCGCCGACATTGCCATATTTCTGCCACTCTTGTTCGGTCCTTCAAACAGGCATGGACTTCGTTACTTTACCGATGGTAGTGGATGGAATGAACCTTTGTATGAAAGTTTGGTGAGTCTACGACCACATTGGCTTGGTATCTGTTTTTTACATGAACTTACTTTTGAAATACTTTTAAAGGCTAAGTAAGTATCATTACATATCTCGCATTTTCAGAGCTATGAACGTAAAATAGCCTCTGAGGAAGACAGTGCGGCCCTTTCCAGTGTTTTGTGCTAGTAGTGTTGGAAATGTGATACATGTACAGTCAACTTCGCCAATAACGACTGCGGATATAACGACAATTCGCGAATAACGACAGAATTTCCATGCCCAGAGCAAAGTCCCATCCAATTGTAATACATATAATGAGACTTTGGGTATAACGACACTTCGCGAATAACGACACTTTTCTGATGCCCCGCCGAGTGTCGTTATACGCGAAGTTGACTGACTGTACATGAACTGTAAACAATGTCACTGCACTCTACTTGTCAGTACACTTGATTGCCATGGGTTTCAGTGTGAGTTCCGCTGAAATCATTTGCCGCATTATTCTGTGCATGGGTGCACGGATGCGACAAAAAAAAGAGGCTGTGATTTGGCACCTGTGTGCCGGCTAGTGGACGGGGAGTGATCGCTTGCCTCCATCGTCTGGACGCTGGTATCACTTCTGCTGCGGAGGTGCCACTGCAATAGGAGGCAATCGCTGTCTGGGGGAAAAAACCATATCACTAGCAGCTCAGACATGCCCGGAAATCAGGCCTGCTCTTCCAGTGCCACCAACTCCGCATGTCTTGTAGACTTTTGCGACGAGTACAGCTGATTGTACTGTGTGCTCGTTGATAGCGATGTCAGCCGTGTAAACCTAGTTGACTGAGAATGCATGCACCTTGGCCATGTCTCTGTGTGACCTAAGCAAACGCTAGGATTTAGCACAACCATGTAGTTTGGCTGGATGATTGTGTACCCGAATACATTATCAGGGCCGGCGTCACACATGGCATTATCAGGGCCGGCGTCACACATGGCACGACCAGTGCAACCATGGTCGTACCACTTTTCGGCCAGGATGGTCCGCCTACAATGGCCGAAAAATCCGATTTTTTCCCCAGGGACACCCCGACCCCGGGTTGTACCACTTCCCATTGCCCTGCGATGCCCCTGATTAGTATTGCTTTTTAAAATTGCACCACATGTTGGTTGCCACTGCCTTTACTAGGGACACGGCTGGACAAGAGCGATTCCGAACCCTGACTATGCAGTTCTTTCGCGGTGCAAAGGTGAGCCGGTGTATCTGTTGTAATTGTTAATTGACCACCACTCAGCTTGGCCGAGCGCTCTTTCTGGTTAGCATCAAGTATCCTGCCCTCACGCAAACCTCGCTGCAGTTAGAGCTGTGATGCTTTCAGGCGGTCAACAATATGCTTTGAACGGTTCACTGGACTGCATCAGTTCACCAGTCACTCTCAACTCTGAATTAAAAAAAAGTAATACAGCGCGTATCGGTTATAGCATGGTCGTGTAAAAGAATATACTGCCTACAAGAATGAACTCTATGTTTTCATAATCATAACATGGATTTCAAGTGCGCATTTATTCTTACAAGCAATTTTATCTTACAGTAGAATATATCGGTCCTAAGGCTGCGTTTACACGACAACGCACGGCCAGTTTTCCGTTTTCAGTCCCGCATTTCTTTTTTCGTTTTCGTACGTTTACATGATCAAAGCCGATCCGAGGTGGTCTCCGTTTGTATCGTTTTCAAGCGTCTACACGAGATCCGCCAAAGTTCGTCATGTGCAAAGTGTTGCCATGGAAGCACCAATCACACTCAAGTAATAGTTGAAAACAGGCCACACGACAACACACGTCACATGACGAAAATTGTAAAAACAATTTTTGGGATTGTCGGATCCGTGTGAACGGCCGAAAACGAAGCAAACGTGACGGGAAACGAGGCCAGAACACCGTTTTGACTGTTTACACATCCAAATTTATCCGGCAGAACATTTCCGTTTTCAAATTCTTCCACCTTGGCCAGCGTTTTGGTTTTGTTCCGTTTTGGTGTACAACTTTTACGTTTTGCTCCTCGTACCGTGTAAATGAACCATGGATCCGAAAGGATTTTGTTCCGTTCTCACCGCCAGCGTTGTCGTGTAAACGCAGCCTAAGAATGGACTTTGTGTAGCAAAACATGCCAGATTAGTACAAAGTATATCGCCTGTAGTAATAATGTCCGTCCAATTCAGTTCCGATCTGACTCGCGTTGGGTCGTAGTGCTGCAGGTTCAACTGGTGTGGTCATGTAACTCGTGTCACGCGGCATAGCCACATGGTAAGCCTATGTGACTATGACCAGCCGCATGCACCGTAACACTACATTGCATGTACGATGATCTTCCTGCCTCTGCGCACATGCACATGATGTCACACTTGATTTATCGTGTTTAAGAAATATCGGAAATAAGAATAGAAAGTCGTTTTTCAAACACCCACGCTATAACCGATACCTACTGTACTGTAAAACATGTAATTTTAGGTGTATAAAAATCTCGGTATCAGGTACCTGCCAGGTTTCAGGTGTAATGTAAAATTAGGTGACCAGCATTCCCTTCACATACAGTGCATGCGCTGGTGCCTTTTAGGTATAATCTAAGTTTAGGTGCTTGTTTTCACTACCGAAATCACCGAAATTAAAGTTACACTGAAAAATATCGTGTTTTACAGTACTCTGGCAAGGTACGTTCGGGCCTGATTGGAAATTTTTATTTCCATTGCTATCAGGTTCGGCCTCATTTCCTCTGTGCTGCGCTGACGAGTCCACAAAGGACGAAACAGTTCTGTCCGCAGATTGAGTATTTCGCTCCTGCTCTTGTAGCAGTTGAGCACTCTTGCGTGGGGTAGTGCCTTTGCTGTTTGCTTTATGCAGAGCTCACTGACTTGTCAGTTTGAGCACTCTGGCAAGGTACGTTCGGGCCTGATTGGAAATTTTTATTTCCATTGCTATCAGGTTCGGCCTCATTTCCTCTGTGCTGCGCTGACGAGTCCACAAAGGACGAAACAGTTCTGTCCGCAGATTGAGTGTTTTACAGTACTGTATGTTGCTGTAGGCGGATCCTATTTCTACACACTAGGCTGAAGATTGAGTACATCTGCAGTGTGTGAGTCATACAAGTTCTACTTTAGGATCCAGGTGCACCCTAATATGCACATGCACAGCCAATCCTGTACACAAGGAGAATGAAACAAAATCGAACAATTGCTGGGGAGGCCGTTGAACGTGGAGTGGATAGGAGCTTTCTTCTATGAATGCATTTGTCTTGACCTGACCTTCATTATTAATTTTTGTTATATGCCTCCTATATCCCACGTCATCTTCAGGGCTTGTTTTTTGTGTACGATCTCTCATCTCGGGATTCCTACGAACGTATCACAGACTGGCTTCAGATGGCATCTAAGGTAAGAGTATACGGGGGAGAAGATTAGATAGGTCTCTCTGACAGAACCCCTATGGCATGGCTGCAGTCAGCGGTAGAAGCGGTGGTGGTGGTGGTGGTCCAGGGTGGTGCAGGTGTTGTTGTTGTTGTTGTTTGAATTTGAATTCTTTATTCTCACGATGGCACCATCGCCAATAAGAGGTGTTGTTGTTGTTGTTGTTGTTGTTGTTGTTGTTGTTGTTGTTGTTGTTGTTGTTTGAATTTGAATTCTTTATTCTGACGATGGCACCATCGCCAATAAGAGGTGTTGTTGTTGTTGTTGTTGTTGTTGTTGTTGTTGTTGTTGTTGTTGTTGTTGTTGGTGGTGGTGGTGGTGGTTTTGGGATAGGTCTGACTCACTTTCATTGTTGGATGTGACCTATAATGCATGTACCTGTGCATATATTTGCTTTCCGTACCGAGATCAGTACTGTGACCTGTCCAATGATGTAATTCACGTCACTAAACTTTTCACGGCCCTTCAGAACTAGCGACTTTGCGATGGCAAATGTCCGCAGAGCGCTTTGGTCATACCTACACACACTTTTGAAAGTTGAGTCGTACTGGCTAATATCCACATTACACTCTTCTCACGAAATTAGCGAATATTTGAAACGTCGCAAATATTACGCAGTTTGCAGTACATGTACTGCATTTCTGGGCTCTGAAGCTACCATTGGTGTTTTTTTTCCTCTCTTTCTGAATGGTCGATATTGTCCTGATATGTGCAGGATGGTCTAACACCAATGCGTGAGGTCATGTTCATCGTCGGCAATAAGAATGATCTGCCTGATTCAGAGAAAGAAGTGGATGTAAAAGAAGCCGAAGAGGTTAGAGACCCTGTTGTGTAGTAGAACTAATCGGTTGCCCGAGGTGCATCCTTGCTTCGAGAAAAGAAGGGCTTAGAGGCATCGGACGGCAGTTTGTGGCATATGTATGCCCATCATCCTAGCAGCATGTGTTGGCTGTAGGATTATGATCTCGACAAGCAATAGCTGCTGTTTCAGTACTGGTGCATGTCACGTCACAGTGTGCAATTCAATTTTCTTGTGTCGCACCATTGTCTTGACAGAAATGTTTAAGCGCCAGCATAAACACATTTTCGGAGTATTGCTTGCATGCGTCACAAAAACCTTGCTATTCTTACCAAATGATTGGTTTGACAGGCTTGTTGAAGAAAATCCAGGCAAACCAGATCTTCAAAACACTCAGGAAGCATTAGAGCATGTGCCAGATGTCAAGCTTTCACTTATAGCTGCTGCTTCTTTTCCATTATGCTTATGAAACGTGTTATGAAATGCGCTTAGGAGCTGAATCTGCGCCTTGATCCTAGAGGGTGGTGGCGTTCCGGCGGATGCGGAAAACTCGGCCTCCAGTCGAGTCTCATGCGAACCGTGAATTTTTATTATTTTTTATGATGTGTCCAGTTTGCCGAAGCTCACCATTGCAAGCACTTTGTAGTAAGCGCTAAAACCGGCGAAGGTATCACTGAGGTGAGTTAAAAGAAGAGAGTAATATACATGGCATTGTGCAGTCTACGTCTGTATGACTGTATGTTTGGGGAGGGGGGGGGGGGGGGGGGCTGCTTCTCTATTTTGTTTTAGCCGGTTGTTTGGTGGCACTGGGTGTTTCAACTCCGGCTCAATGTCCTTTTCCTCTACATACCGTAAAGTCGCGGATAAAAGCCGGGCTTATAAGCACGTAAGCCGCTTTCTGCATCAGGCTTTAATGCAAGCCAGGCTTGTATGCAAACCATGCTTATATGCGCCACTGATATTTTTGCCAGGCTTGTATGCACATAGAAGCCAGGCTTCTACGCGCGACACGCGTAGATCTACCACTGACTACCGGTATGGCGGCAGTTTTACTATGCACCGTACATAGCGCATGCACTCTTGACCTACCCGATCCGCGCTTGCATAGAAGCCAGGCTTCTTCGCGCGAAAGGCTTATATGCATTTGACCCGTTTGATTTTCAGGCTTCTATCCGCGATGTGCTTGTATGCAAACCCGGCTTTTATTATTTATTTATATATTTATTAGGGCTCAAACGATTAGTCCGATTAACCGGTTGCAGACCGGTTACGAAGAATTAACGGTTAACCAATAAAGATAACGGTTACGCAGTAACTTTTCAGTCAATTTGTCAAGTATCAGGTCGTTGCAAAGTATGCACTTTCGCAGGCTGTCGCACGCGTACGCAATTTCTGGGCTGTCAACTCGGTCATATCTGGTCTCTTGGTGTGAGAGTATGTATGAATGAGCATGCGAGAGAATGTACATGTGTGCGTTGTACTCAATAGGGTACATTTTTTGAATGAGTATAGTCAAATGTACGGTTAAAAAAGAGTCCGCAGGATTGCCGTGGCTTATAGGTTATAACCGTTAAACCGACCGTTAGCTTAGCAGTTAACCGTTACGGGTAAAACCGTGACCGTTTGAGCCCTAATATTTATTCAACATCTTATGGCTTCCAATGGCAGCCAAAACGGGAAGATGTGGGTGATAGCCAACCATGGTAAAAGAAGGAGAAGATTATATACAGGTAGACTCCCTCTAATTCGAATACGGTATAATTCGAACATTCCGTGTAATTCGAACTTTTTCGTCGTACCGATCTTCTGCAAGTCACTTCAAGTCAAAATCGAATGCATAATTCGAAGTACGAAAAGTGCGCCGGTTGGATAATTCGAACCCAGTCTTCGTACAGAAGAGCTGTTTACAGTACATTGGCTATGTCCTTTGAACGCTTATTTCGAAGTGAGATTGAGTTGCTATCCTTGTAATTCGAAGTTCATTCTTTTCTCCTTCTCTAGCCAAGAGTAGCTCAAAAATCGATCGATGGTCCGCTGCAGGATCGACTATAGCGTTCAAGAAACCCACCTTCTCTCGAAATTTGATTCAAGCCCGTGCGAGGCAAATTGCAAAGGTTTGATTGAAGACGACTTCTTCCAGGTGGCTGACTCTCTTCGCGGATCTCGATGGCCTTTAAAAGTTGAAGTTTCTTACCGCGCCAGCTCGTGCGCGGAGATGTTGGCGCACAACAACACTATTGTCGTAAATATTGTCTATGCCTTTGCTCCACTTCCGTTCTTCAGAACGACGTGCTGCTGTCCAACGGCCTTTCATGACGCGGATTAGGCAGCGCAGTTCTTTTCCGTTGAAATTGTTTCAGGAAAGCTACAGTGACTGACAACTTCTTCACTAGAAGATGAAGATAATGTCAAAATGATTTTGTGTCAATCCAGTGTTTTGATGATCCGTTTTACATGACCGGTACCTATGTTTCGTTGATGCAAATAAAAGTGTGCAAAAAATATTCAGCATGCGATTTCAAGCATTTTGACATACATATCAGTGCATGGGGCTGCATTTGGATAATTCGAAGTTCTGGATAATTCGAAGTTAGGGCCTGGCAATTTGAGGTTCGAATTAAAGGGAGTCTACCTGGACATGACTTTACGGTACTCGTGGTTCCTATTGCAGTGTAAAGTTGTCAAGCAGACCATTGGGAAAGTATTTTTTATATTTCATTAGTTCATCATGGTATTATGTCGGCATCAATAGTGTTATTCATAGCTTTGTTGAAAGCATATTTTTCTTCAGACCTTTCCCCTTTTCAATCCCTCCAGCTAATGAATCCAGTTGTTTTGCCGTGTTTTACTTGATCTTTGCTGACCGTGGCAGCTTTTCCAGGTCATGATGACGGACTTGAAGGATTCATTCGGTCCACACAGCTCAGTAAGTAGGCTAAGGCCGAGTAAAAAAAATTACTAGATGATCGTCCTTTTTTTTGGAAAAATCGGGGAGGGCGGGAGGATTTTATTTTTATTTTTTTACTTTTTACCCTCTCATGCACACAGTGTACACAACAACATCAAGGTTTTTTTTCTCTTTTTTTCTTTTTTTCTTTTTCTTTCTTCAGCAGATCGATACTGACGTTGTGATATACTAGTAGTATGTGGTCCATATAGTAAAACTCACGATTTAAAAAATAAAATATTTCTTGGGGCGCTGACAAAAACTGGGGCGGACGGGGACGATCATCTAGCTTTTTTTTTTACTTGGCCTAAGTACTAGTATTTTCATCTAAATAGTTTTTATGGTGCAGCTCAGTTATGTTTTGGTTAGGAGTGCATAGCGCCCGGTGCAAGCTGGCTCATAATATCCAGATTTCGTTGAGCCACAATGCAGCTCCCTTTTATAATGTGGATGTGCGAAGTTTACCTTTTGATGTATTTTGCACTGATGGCGGCGAGGACAATTTAATGAGTATTGAGCCCATCTGTTGTGTTGCTGCAGACCAGGACAGCTTTCTCACAATTGCCGCGTGGCAGCCCTGCTTCCAATAGCGCAGTACCACGCAAAGTTTCCGGTGGCTTTCAACTTCATGCAGAGAGCCATGAAAGCACAGTGTGTGAATCCAAGGCAAGGCCGGGAGAAAAACCTGCCCTCAGTTGCTGTCGTGCTGCATAGTGCTGCAGACCACAATGTAGCTATTATATATAACCCGTTGTGCAAGTGTCATGAGCATCCTAACCTGTTACTTGACTGAGTGATACTTTCATGCAACTGTTCACCTTCGAACTTGTTACTAGTAGCCTATTACATGTACCAAGAGTCTCTTACCCAGATTGTGCAACAGTGTGATATGTTATATACATATGGGTCAGATATATGGCTATCTGCCGTTATTGTAGAAAACATAGCATCAGCTATACAATACTGAAGCCACCAAAAAGGTTACTTTCCCTGTGGTCTGAGATGAGTGAATCTTACCGTATTTTTCGGGAGTTTAAGCCGCACTTTAATTCTAGGTCAAATTGACCGTGAAATATGGAGTACTGTAAAAGCCATATATATTATATAACGAAGTGCTAACTCTAACGAGTTAGGGCCTGGTCAGACTGCGGCAAATTTTGGTTGCCTGACGAAAAAAGAAAAGCGTCCAGAATTAGAATTGCGATCACACTACACATGTGGGGAGAATGAAAATTCAAACTTAATTTCGAGCGTCAAGTGGTAATCTCCACGAACGACGTCAAATTCCTTCACCTTGGGGATCGCCAACACCTTCAGTGCAATCCTTGCAACCATGCTTATGAGTTTTGTTGTTGTCCGTGGCCAATTAGCTCCTCGATATCGAGATGAAAAAATCAGCGAATATCAGCGTCAATGGCGTATCAGCGTCAAACTCCTGTTTGGAGCGGAAATGCGTGGTCCGTTCTTGCTTTTTTTTGGAGCGTCAACTCTCGATTTTGCCGCTCTGGCGGCAAGTTACTATGGAGATTCGGATTATAATCACAGGATTATTTCGATTTTGCCGCAGTCTGACCAGGCCCTAAACGAGGAAAAATCTGTCGTTAAAATAGAAATCTTTATACGGATATGATACATATTATACTGTGCGATTGAGCGTTGAGAATGAGTGAGAATCGTTACCTTTGGTACACGTAAACTAGTCAATTTTGGGAAATCGTTATAATATTATATGCGCCTCGTTAGAATAATGGCTTTTACAGTAGATGTCCACTGTATTTCGCTACAAAAATCTGGGTGCGTCTTAAACTCCAGTGCGGCTTACACTCCTGAAAATACTGTACTCTGCTTTTCTACTTTGGTATGGAACGGAAGTTTGTGCACGCAAAATCCAGGGATCTCCACGGCATGTGTAGCTGAGATTGAAGTCTCCCAGAGAGCGCATGCCGTGGTGGAAAGTTTGTCGTCCGATCCAAAGCCCTGGGACTCGAACAAAACCACGTAAAACAGGCAAGCTATAATACGGCGAGAGGGTTCTGGGTTCGCGGCAATGCATGAGCACGGGTCATGATCAGGCAAGTCATTTGTGTGAGTCATGAAGAGAGTCCGCGCTGCGGCACTGGCTTAGGGCTGTATACAGTCTTGGATAATATGGATATGGACTCCTTCCACTTTGGATGTTTGCCTGTATTCCCTTTGTTCCAAGATGACAGGACAATGCAGAAAAGAGCTACACGGAAGGCAGAACGAGGTTTGTTTGCTACTCGAGTTTCACGCTTCCGCCATTCTCGGGCAAAAGAAGCTCAAAGAAGCCGCTGGCGGGCACGGCACCGAGTCCTTGGAAAAGCTCTACGATAGTGCTGGCAACTGAAACCCTACCCCCGGAGCGGTGCGCTCACATTACATGACCCAGTTACATTACAATATACAGGCCGCTCGGAGAATCGGTGCTGCACTCGAGCACAGATGTGATCAGGGGTCGGATTTCAGTTGCCACTGCTGTGACTGTATATAATTATAAATAAATGCAGAGCCTAAGGATTCATTGCACATACTTGTGATACTTGAGGTCGGCTGGTGAGCGCTTGCAGTTATGGTGTGCGGTGGTCGATGAAAAATACAACAAGCAACACTGTTGCCTGATGCGGATTGCAAAAGCATGATGAAACCCAGAGTAGCGACTAACTAGCCTTGATTGCCATTGTTGTCCTGTGTACATGATTGCGGTATTTAGTGATTGTGGTATTTAAAAATATTCGGCGCGTATTTCTTTATAGAAAAGAAAAAAGGACCAAGGAACTACAAGTTATGCTATAATGTCCACTAACACCACCAGTTACTAAACAATCAGCTCATGCGATAACATTGCACGACACTGACCTGACCTGTTAGCCAGTTAGTTGTAGAACGTCAGTATCGTCAGTCAGTGTCGTGCAATGTTATCGCATGGGCTGATTGGTGGACATTATAGCATAACTTGTAGTTCCTTGGCCCTTTTTCTTTTCTATAAATTTATCCTTGGCTCTCCATCCGAGTTCATTCTGTCTTTGAGGCCGAACATTTGTTGCGACCGAAATATTAGTTTGCAAGGTAAATCATGTGGCAGAGTATATACATGTATGTACAAGCAGGGCCATGGCGCCAGTATGGGTTGACATTAAAATAATTTATATGGTCGAAAAGTGGCAAGGGAGGCTGAACATTAATTCTGTAGATCATATTTTTACCTTATGCGATGGCTGGCTTCTTGACTTCGGAGCTTCCTGCAAATTTATTTTTGTTGAGTGATGTCCTCAATTCCCCTGAAGGGTCAAGCTTGATCAAGATGGCCATATTGTTACTTTTTAGCAGGGAGTAGTAAAATATTTTACTACTCCCTGCTTTTTAGTACAGTACTCTGATCTGGTGCCCGTACCAGGCCTGCAGGGCAAGCCTGTGTGAAGTGCAAGTGGTACAGTCAGACCTCGCATAACCGCACACATCCGTCTTCCAGAAAAATATCCGGATAGGCGAGGGAACCGGATAATCTGACACGCACACTGTATGTGTACATGACATATGCTGTAAATCGGTAACCAACGATTTTCTTCCGGATGGCGAGGGATCCGGATAAACGAGGACCGGATAAGCGAGGTCTGACTGTAGTCTACAAACGACTCGTACATGCCCAAAGCAGGAAGTAAAATATTTGTATCGCATCCGTTATCCTTAGTCATAGTGACGTAATGATGACATTGCACAACTTCAAGTACACTGTACACTGCACTGAACACTGTGACTGTGAAGTCTGCGTACATACGTATAGTACCTGCACACTCTACTTTTGAAAGTACCATTCAACAGACTCAAGACTCAAGTGATTCATGCTGCAGCGCTGAGTCTTGCTGACAAATCCGGCTAGCTCCACTCGGCACTCCCCTAAAAAGGCCTAATCACGCGTCACCACTTGTACTGTATACTGTACTCACGTACTCACCACGCACCACACGAAATAATTCGTTCCACTACTGCTGATCCAGTCTTGTTGATGTCTAGACTTCTCACTCGTTTTCTCAGCACGACAGCAGGCATCAGTTAGTGAAACAAAGTCAAGCTGCTTCCGTAGAACTGGATAACTGTGCTAGTGTCATTGCGAGCTTTTTGAGGGTTTGAACTTTGAAGGCTACTAGTAGCTGGGCTTCCAGCATGGATGCTCTGGACGAATACCATTAGACGTTTAAAAAATTCTTTGGAAACAAGTGAATTTCCAGTAGCCTGGTTTGTGTCACTGACAGCAAAATGGAAAAGAGGAAGCATAGTACATTGCCGCCTGGTATGGCTTCACTATCGCCGCTCCTTGCAATTGCTTGTCTGAGTTTGCTGGCTGAATGCAGTGCATCAACGGTACCCTGTGTAAATGGCCAACTAGTTTCTGGCTCCTGTTTGTGTGATGTTGGCTGGACTGGATCATCCTGCAACTACTGCTCTGGTCGTGTTAGGTAGGTGCTGTATTAACATTTTAATACGGTCACAAAATATTACTTCCACGATCGATCAGCAGTACCGAGTGTGTAGTTCGTTAATACACAGCCAAACGTTATGTACATTTCCTGTCTTCATTGAGCATGCAAAAAAAACAAGAAAAAAACGCACAGCTCCTGGTACACTGTACAATCCGATGTGCTTATGTTGACAGGCAAGTAATTAGTTCACTTTCTTTTTGAACGCACAAATCAGGTTTGTACAAGTGAATGTATACAGCCTCTAACACGGATAATTCATTCGCACCATGATCCAAGCTTGCAGCCTACTTGTACAAACAAGTTTACTTCTCAGTTTTTTTTATCTAATTTTGTAAATTTCGTAACTGACATAATAAATAAAGCAGTCAACTCTTTCAAGGATTTTTGTCCCTACGGTACGAATATCATCAAGAGTACATAACCCCCCAGAGTGTGCAACGCCTGATCCAGCTCTGCATAGGGTCTTGGTCGAGCGTCATCGGATCTTTGCGTCATATTACCGCACACGTCTGAGGGGAACCCGGGGAGTTGAATCTCGGATCAAAAATAACGGTGCCCTGCCTCGAGACCGGCCTTGCGCTGGTGTGGAGTGTACGCATGACATCAGAAGATCCGACTACGCTCGACCAAGACCCTATGCAGAGCTCTAGAGCTGGATCAGGCGTTGCACACTCTGGGAGATTATGTACTCTTGATATCATGCCCCGTGTATCCAGAGATGATATGATATGTAGGATTCCCTTTCCTAAGACAAGATTCCCATTCTCAGGTTTCACCAGGCACTCAAATTGCTCATATCGATAGTAAAACTTGTCATAGAGGAGAAGAGAAAGAAAGGCAAGAAACACGTGAGCATGCGCGCGGCTTACAAGGCCAGCGATTCGTCACGTGGACAGGAGCAGGAAATACGAAATACTAATGTAAGAAATAACAATCGTCATGCAATGATTACAGTAATACTCAAGTAATCATTGGCCTATACTGCACAATTATTGGCCTATACTACACAATTCCCCTCCTCTCACCATTCACGACCTCGTGAATAATAGGCAAGCAGGGCAAAAACAATTAAATGTATAATATAGAAAAACAATTACGGGTATACAATGACCTAACTACAAAACATAGTCACCAAATCTCGCAGGAGCAGTGCGGATCCGGCCTGATCGACGCACTAATACTGGAGTAGCAACAGGAGGAGGTAGAGGTGATACGGCAACAGGCGGCGACAACGGAGGCGTACTCGGCACAGAGCCATCGGCATCATGTGGCACAACAAGAACAAAGTCATGAGCTGACAAACTCACTGGGTCGGGGAGATCATTGACAGAAGACGGTAAGGTAACTGGGCACGATGAAGTAACTGGCTTCAAGCGATCGAAGTGAACAGTACGTTCAACTCCATTCAGCAATAACGTGTATGATGTCGGACCATGAACACGCACAATAGTATGTGGACCAGGCCAGAAACGATGAAATTTACGGTGCTCGCCAGCACGGATAACTGGATCATGAAGATATACTTGCTGACCGACAACATAAGGCTCACCATGAACGCGATGGTTATAGAACTGTTCTTGAAACGCATGAGCAAGATCAGCATTATGACGGGCTTCAACGTGAATATTCCGCAGAGAAGTGTCGAGACTTCGGACATAGGTATGCATATCAGTGGAAGGTGGCAAAGGTAAATTGAGCACAATATCAGCTGGTAACCGGACATCCGCACCATACAGAAGGCGCGCTGGACTGAATCCAGTGGACTTGTGCACTGCAGCACGATATGACAACAAGACGAGAGGGAACGTTGCATCCCACTCCGTACTGGTTGGAGTAATGTGGGCACGCAGCAGACCTAGAAGAGTGCGGTTGACGCGCTCCACCAGACCATCGCCAGAAGGATGATACGGCGTGGTTCGCGTCTTCCGGATACCAAGGAGACAGCAGATATCCGCAAATAGCCGAGATTCGAATTGGGCCCCTTGATCTGAATGAAGCTGTTCAGGTGCACCGAACCGACTGATCCAGCCATTAACGACAGCTGCAGCGACCGAAGCAGCAGTGATATCGCGCAAAGGGAATGCCTCGACCCATCGCGTAAAGTAATCCGCCATGACCAGGAGATATAGATATGCTTTGCGGCGTTTTCTTAACGCTTTCAACCCATTTTGAGTGTTCTTCATTAAAACCCATATTGCACCGTGAAAACAATTTCAATCAATATGCCAGCTGCCGTGATGTGTGGGAGTTGCTATTGCAAACGGCATGGCAGGTGTTTGACAACTCAGGGCACTAGTGCACGCATGGCAGCTCCGGGAAGGTGGAGCTGTATGGTAAGAAAAAAAGTAAGTTAAATATTATGTCCGTTCCCAAAGGGAACTCACAACGGCCGCTAGCACCCGGTAAACCAAGTTTAGAAGTTTCCAAATATTTCCTCCGTTTACGCGGCAGACAATACGGATTTGTCGGAATGATACTCGACCAAAACATGAAGTGAATTTTCACTTTTGGTACTGTTTGGAAGCATTTATGTATGATTTACAGCCCAAGTACAAGCGAGTACAAGGGCAATACCAGCTGATACATGACCGAACGGCGTCAGCCGTAAGGTCATGTATCAAGCCGGTATTGCCCGTGTACGAGCGCGTATGAGGTGCTGTACATCATTTATTGCATGCTTGCCCCCGGTGTTCCATATAATGTACAAACGTATGCAAGCAGACCGAATCGTTTTCAAATGCAGGCTACACTGAACACAACTCCAGTGCAGTCTCGAATGCGGTTTTGAATTTTTTATTTCTTCACAATTTGAACAGTGATTTTGTTGGTGATCGAGCAGTTAGAGTAGTTGCAGGACTGAAACACGCCTGTTCCCCGCTGCTTCGTCTCCAACGTTTGGAGCTCCTGGGGCGTGCAGCTCGCGATCAGGGCATCGATGTCTGCGTCCCTATTAGACGATGCCGGAACAAGAGAATCAGATGCTGCCGGAACAAGAGAGCTGGATGATGACTGTGGCTGCAGAAGTAGGTCTGGAAACAACGGAAGCTCAGGCGGTGCTGCTGGCTGAAAGAGAGCGTCCAGATCAATGCCTGTCAGTTCCGGATGAACCGGCTCGGCAGGTGTAGTATCGGGGACATGTAGTAATGATGCCGTCTTGAGCTTGTCTGCTTCTGTTGGTCGATTGTAGTTCACAAGGCTCTGTTGGCACTTGTGCCCTGACACTGCCATGATTGTCGAAGCTGGTAAATTCTGCCTGCAGAGCTCAGTTATCGTAGATGCACGCACTGAGTGGTTGGTGTATCGCTGCGATAAGTTGCATTTCACAGACAGGATTGACATCAAGCTGCCCAGGGTATTCTTACCCAAAGGCTTCCCATTGTACCATACAGTAGACTCACGAGTAGCATGTTTCTTCACTTGCTGGAACAAACGTGTCTTTCCAGAGGTAGGCTTAGGCAGTTTTGACCACAGGAGCTTGGAACCTTTCACATACATGGGGTTGACGAGGCGACTATCAGAAACGCTGTCAGCTGCAGAAATCGAGCCTTGCTGCGTTTTCGACTTGTACGATGTTGTTATCTTCACGTACTCCCCATACTCAGCATTACTGCACTCCTCAAAGTCTTCCACGTATAGATCACACTGAGACTCGCGGCCATGCTAGCAAACATGCTTGGTGATGCCGAACCAGACCATTTCTGCGAGGGCGATAGGATCAGACTCATAGTTGGAGACACAGTAAGAGTTAAGCTTAGCTTGATCTTCGTTGCAAAGACTGAAAGAGCGTCCTTATGCTGAACTTCCTTCAGCTGGCCATCTTGCTTCATTTTTTTTTTATCAAAGCATTGAGCGCTTGGTTTGCTTGCACCAATTCTCGGTCCGTGATTATGTTGATGGGTTGTCGTAGTTCGGTGAGGCGTCGTTGAATGGCAGTACGAAATGAAATGAGGCTTGCCTTGCTGTACATCTTTTTTTTCATTTTTGGTCCGGATTTCGACGTATGCATGTTTCAAAATGCCAGCAAGGTCGATCGGAGAAACAGTGGCCAGATCACACGTTACTTTCTTCTTGCAGCCGAAATCGGTCAGAACGGTAAGCCATTTTTTGGTGGCAGTTGTCGTGTTTTGGTTTTTCGTTTCGTCGATAAGCTTTTCAATATCTTCGTCAGATACTTCTTGAAATCTGCTCGTCGTTGAACTACTTGAAGCCGTAGCTGCTTCACCGGCTCCACGTGGTGGTCCTCTTTCATCTCCATTTACAGCATCATCACATAGTGGACCCGGATCGGGAGGCAGTGAAGATACAGTTTCATTCTCCATATTTGCTTGTCCACTATACCAAAAAAAGGAACACTTTCTCTCGCAAGGTGAACTGCAACTGACAGTACGCATGCGTACTGAGAGCAGATTCAGTGGGCAATACACGAAAATTCCTGCCCGCTGAGCAAGAGCGCTCATTAGAGCGCTCATTTGCTACAGTACAGGCAACCCTCACGTGACATGCAATAAATACATTGACCTTTGATAAATACCCACACTCATTAGTGACCACACCATCAACAGTATCAAATTCAAATAAATTTGCTTTGACTCAATAAATACCACTGCACTTTTCCATGTAGCACTGCACTTTTCCCTAAAAAGCCAATAAATACTGTTTATAAAATACCACTGAGGCCAATAAATACTGTTTTTAAAATACTCCTTTTTAGGGAAAGTGAAGGTCAACATATGTATAATAAATGTAGTAGCCTCAGGATTTATTGCAATTACATACCAGTTATAAAAACCTCGGAGGACCTCGGTTTTTATACTGGTATGTAATTGCAATAAATCCTTCGCCTCTACATTTACTATATACGTAAAGCGAGATATGGATGACTTGATGGCTGATCAATCCCTCGGTCTTTGATCGGTCATAGTTATCACTGGTTGGTTGGCTCGTGGGTTGTTACTTGCGTTGTTACTTGCATCGTGCCTGCATGCCTTTTCATGTCATCCACTTTGCGGATGTTCACTGGTCCCAAGTACATACTTGCCAACCCCTGGCAGCCAGTTTCCTTGACACTGATGAGGTTTTCCATGATTTTGCCCATTTTTCCTTGATCTGCTATTTTACATCATAAAAATTGTGCAAAATATTGTACATGCATGTGACATCATAGTGATGTCAACACGACCCCAAAACATTCGCAAATAGTACAGCATGTATAACAAAAACGTACTTGTTCAAGCGCTAGCTCAAGATTCTCGCTAGAGCTTCGTTGTGGGCACAGCACTGCTCGCGAGCGTCCAAAACACTGAAAATCAACGAAAAAAGGTGCTGACAGACATTTTTCGGAAATCCGGTAGATGAACTTTTCCGGTATACCGGGACGAAAGTGAGTTTTCCTGGATTTTCCCGGAAATTCCGGCAGGGTTGGCAAGTATGCAAGTATCACCAATGATACAAACCTACCTCCAAACTACAAACAACAGGGTGAGCTGGTTATTGTCACCTATTATATTGAGGATGCAGAGCAAGCGCTGAGTACTGTTGCGTTTTCACAATGTTGTCACCTCCAGCCAGCTGGTTGCATGCTCATGGTGCTAGGGACTAGTGATAACCACCACGTGGGTGTTCTATAATTGAGGTCTAGTATGCGTGCTAAGCTCCTGCTACATTCCTGCTACATTGGCTTGGGTTGACACGCCTGGCTCTTCATGATGATGCGATTTTGTAAGCGATATTGAGCAACTTCACCTTGCAACCACATCCTGGCACATCCTGTGGCATGGCCCAGGGGTGGGTTTTTGCGCAGTTCACGCAGTACACGTAGCACTACGCCCCGCAGTAGTGCATTGGTACACTGCTACAAGTTCAATGTTTGGCCAGTGTTTTCCAACCTCATTCTGTTGATGTCAAATTAACTTAAACTGCATTGTAAGCTGGTGTATCTCTGAGTAAACGCTCTGTTGGTGTTTGTCTTGCTGTTCAGGCTGAATGCAAGCTCTGGGGAGATTACAGACGGCCCAGGGACCTACAGAGCGTTACAAGGTTGTAGCTGGTTCATTGATTCCGGCAGGTACGTGCCTCACATGTTGTGAACTGTGCGTAGCAGGCTTATATGACAAAATCAGAGTCCAGTTTTGTTTTCTGGTCACTTTTTTCCGTTATACATGTGATCCAATCTTGTTTGTTATTCAGCTCACATGTAGCTGGGTAGCATGGTAATTGCCAACTCTCTCTCTCTCTCTCTCTCTCTCTCTCTCCCTCTCCCTCTCCCTCTCCCTCTCTCTCTCTCTCTCTCTCTCTCTCTCTCTCTCTCTCTCTCTCTCTCTCTCTCTCTCTCTCTCTCTCTCTCTCTCTCTCTCTCTCTCCTCTCTCTCTCTCTCTCTCTCTCACTCACTCTCGCTCTCCTCTCCTCTCCTCACAGTTCCAGTGCAACGATATCGCTCAGTGTGGAACACTTTGCTACGGAATGTATATGGGACGCGCTTTACGTTTTCGACGGCGATTCAGTCAGCTCGCCGATGCTAGCTTCATTTAGGTATGTGCATCGGAATGTGTATATTGAAAGATCCTCAGTATCCTATTCTGTTGTCTGTGCAATGTCTCATGTAGAAGTATATCAGTATCACATGCCAATTCTCCTCACTGTTGTGAGTCTTCATGAGCTTCTTCAAGGCTTGTTCTTTTCTGTGGAGATCGTGCTGGTCTATTGTACTGCATTGAAAACGGAAGTCATAGTTTTTCCGTAATCACAGAAAGGGGATGCCTGCACTTGAGGACATCTTTCACAGGTACATGGTACAGCCCAATGCATTCTGGTGTTTAGTGGCATGCCTGTGTTTGTTGTGTTGTGTTGTGATCATCAGTGGCTACATGACTCCGCTACTGTCAGATCTCACCACGTTGACATCGTTTATCCCAGTGGAGAACAGCAGCTACCATCAGTCCATGGGTGCGCCGGAGCACATTGATGGCAACACCACGAATGCAGTTCGCCGACCACCAGCCGTTGTGAGGGCTAGCTCAGGGAAAATGTTCATCTACTTCTACGGGGATGCAGCGAGTGAGGCCAGTGGCTTCAAGCTCAAATACAGGTTAGGAGGACACTGCTGCTAGCTAGTGCATACAGACTATAATACTATGCTTGAAATAGATACAGTAGTATTCTTGCACACAGCCAGGTGTAAACCTTGACCAATTGTTCACGTGCTTGATGATTCTTACTGCAGTTGATCTCATGATGGATTTTGCACTTGTATATGACTATTGGCCTCTGTGAAAAGGGTCGTCAGAGGACACATCTTTGCAATCACTTCCCCTCCCCTACCTTTGCTCTTACTGCTGTTCCTTCTAGTCCATTTTGTACTTGATGCCGTCCCTGTGGAACACTATGGCTGCTGTTCCTTCTAGTCCATTTTATACTTGATGCTGTCCCTGTGGAACACTATTGCTGCTGTTCCTTCTAGTCCATTTTGTACTTGATGCTGTCCCTGTGGAACACTATTGCTGCTGTTCCTTCTAGTTCGTTTTGTACTTGATGCCGTCCCTGTGAAACACTATTGCTGCTGTTTTTCCGTGCGGCTGCTCTTGTTTCTACTGCTGGTTGAGGTGACGTTGTACTTCGTATTTGTTTGTTGGTGCCTCACTGTCTCTGTTGGTGTGGGTCTTGTTCTGCCTCTAGCTTATTATCATGTCCTGGAGGTTCGACGTGTAGCGGCAATGGCCAGTGTAACGCTGCAACGCTCGAGTGCCAGTGCGGGATTGGCTGGACCGGTCTGGACTGCTCCGTGCCGTCATGTCAAGAAGCACCGTGCACTGAGAATGGTGGCGTGTGCAGCAGCAGCACGGGACGCTGCGTCTGCCCTGCCAGTCGCGGCGGCGTCAACTGTGAGCGCTTCAAGTTTGATGCACAATGGCATCAGGTCGACGCCGTCCCTGCTTCTTCATCTAGCTTGAACTGGCAATACCAGGGACGTGCCTCGCACACCATGGTTGCACATGGTGACCTCTTCTACGTGTTTGGCGGTTTTGCCGCAAATGCGCCACTCTATCGTAGTTTCGAGTCGTTGCTGGTGTTCAATACTACTTCTTCGGAGTGGTCAGTACCTTTATTGCATCCAACCAGTCCAGTGCCAAGTAATCGCTATGAGCACACCGCCATTGTCTGGTCTGTAAGTACCAGAAGAGTTCCATACTCTGACCTGCTGTGTGGCCAGATGCATATCTGTCACTGTGTAAATAGTAAATAGTACTAAGTAGATATCTGGCCAGCTCCCCTTTCTATTTCGTTGGACATGCACATTGCTGTACATCGTCACCGCCGCCGAGAGAAAGGTGCCAAGTACATAATATACATGTACATGTACATATATTCAAAGATTAAGGCCATGCCTACGCAGCACAGCTCAATTACAATAGGCAGATGATCAACAAAACATGTTTGCCAAACTGAACTGCATTTAACACAAGGGTCAGGAGACCACGTACAGACACAGTACAACTTATACCACCCCCAAGTACCGTAGTAACGCACATATAGGCGCATGTGCCTGTATTCGGATATAACCGCACTCTCACTTATAAGCGCATGCTCTTATAGGCGAAGCACTACCAAAATTATCACTTTGACACCATCACGGATAAAAGTCTGCAAACAGCATACAGGCACCATGAAACTGACACTACAAGACCTAGTCACACACAAAGACTCTGGCAAACAAACTCTGATCGCGCATGCGCGTTTAGGTGATAATATTTCATTTTCGAAAATTGGATTCGTAGCGAAAATTCACTTATAAGCGCATGTGCTTATATGTTTGTTAGTGCGGTAACCTTAGTGGGAGCGCGTCTGTAGACTGTACAGTATGGCACTCTCTCAGGCACTGGCCCCGGATTAACCGTACATATAACTATTAGAGAGGTTCCGCACTACATAAAGTTGGGCAACTTTACGTTTAAATAGTGGGCGGGGAAACCCCATGAATTCGCAAGTTTGCACTCCACTTACGGAAAGTTGTCTGCGTAGTTGAAGTATGTAGATAGGGCTCTGATAACGTAAGTGCTCCGTAAAGTGGATTGGGGTACAAATTGATGATTCTCTCCCCAGGTCGTCCCAATCGTACACTGCCGAATTCCGAGTTGCCAAGGGCAGCTACGTGATGCGAAAATTCCGCATGGCGGAACCCAGATCCACATGCAGTGTACATACGACTTACCGTGGAGCGACTACATTTTTTTTACTACGACAATTCCGTTATGCGGAACCTCTCTATTATCATACAATTGTATTGGTAGCTCGCTCTAACTATTTGTTACACTGTCTGTGCTGCACAATGGTTACCACATGTGCCCTGTAGGGTATCATGTATGTGTATGGGGGTCGAATCAGCGGCTCTGACAAGCCATGCAGCGAGTTATGGAGCCTGAACTTGCAAGCCAAGCCCATCGTTTGGACCCAACTGGCACCTGTCGGCGACACGGCAGTGGCTGTAGCCATGCACACAGCTACGTTAGTCGAGGGAAAGATGTTGGTCATTTGGGGACGCGGTGAAGATGACTCGAATCAAGTTGCCGTGCAGGAGTACGTCATTGGTAAGATTCCTCTGATTTTTGCGTCTTGTAAATCATGCATGAATGAGAGGCACACGTTGACTTGTATCTTGTGAATGAAGCATGGATGAGGGGTACGCGCTGACTTGTATCTTGTGAATCAGGCATGGATGAGGGGTACGCGCTGACTTGTATCTTGTGAATCAGGCATGGATGAGGGGTACGCGCTGACTTGTATCTTGTGAATCAGGCATGGATGAGGGGTACGCGCTGACTTGTATCTTGTGAATCAGGCATGGATGAGGGGTACGCGCTGACTTGTATCTTGTGAATCAGGCATGGATGAGGGGTACGCGCTGACTTGTATCTTGTGAATCAGGCATGGATGAGAGGTAGAGGAGACGGTTTCAAATAGGAAACAGGTTGCAAACCGGAAACTTCGGCGGAAAGGTTTCAATATTCACTTTCTCCCTTGGTATTTGATTAGAAAACATATGTCACAGTGAGACTACGGTGTGTTTTACTCCGAGCCAAAATGTCATGGCGCTGCGATGACCAGAAGCGCCATTCCAAGCAGGTGCGTTTTTGACGTGTTGCTTCACACTGCGACTTGAGTTTTACTTGTACGTCTTTCGAAAAATCAACTTGTCGCAGGTAAACAGCGGCTCGCCTCTCGCCAATAAAGTACCGTATACCAATGAAAACTGATGGAAGCACACACTGGGCTTATTGTTGCTCTGTACGGGCCGCCGTGGAGCGATAGCAATTACCTAATTTCAGAACTCAGAGTGAATTTGACGTGCACTCCAAAACCTTTCCGGTTTGGAGCCACCTCTGATTTGAAACGAAAAATCGGGCAACTTGGAGGCAACGGGCCAACACAAAGGAGTGTCTCAGTTCGATCGACTCTGGCCTCAGGGTAAACTTCAACATGCCAGTTTCCTTCCACAAACATATTTCGTCTTTACTAATTTCGAGTGAACAATCCCCGCTGATGGTCGGTTTGGGTCTACACGATTTTGCTGTCAAACCGTTCCTATTTGAAACCGTCCCCTCTACACGCTGACTTGTATCTTGTAAATCATGCATGGATGAGAGGCACACGCTGACTTGTATCTTGTGAATGAGGCATGGATGAGGGGTACACGCTGACTTGTATCTTGTGAATCATGCGTGGGAAAAGGGTACGTGCTGAGTTGTGACGTGTGGCCTTGTATATTAGCCACGTTACTGTGGCATGCTATCCACCTGTTCCAGAGGCACCGTTCTCATTTACCCGTTCCTCTGCGATACTTCTCTCTGATCAGGTACGAACGTGTGGCGTCTGGTGATAGCTGCTTCATCTACTGCTATCTACCCTAAGCCCGTGTCTGGCCATAGTGCAGTCTACAGTACAAAAAGCCACTTGGTCATGGTCTATGGCGGCTTTTTGTTGGCCGCACGACTCCGGAGACTCTACACGTTTGATCCGTTCCACTATGAATGGTAGGGATTTTTTCTGAATTGCTTTATGCGTTGTATTGTTGTCTGAACAACCTGGTATGCAGATGTAGTGTGATGGTAAAGGTGAGAAAGCCTGGAAAAGGCGAGTTTTCCCACTGACTTGTCCATGGAATGTGAGCTATTGCAGAAAAAACGTTTTGCTGGTGGGCAGTGCTGGACAGCACCTGTGTATACATGTATCCGCGTGTACGGGCTTGTGGTGTTTTTTTTCTTCATGTAACAGGAAAACCTACGAGGCTGATAACTGGCCTCATAGTGCACTGCACAGCGCTGTGCTCGGTCCATCGTCAACAGGCGGTGATTTGATGTTGCTGATGGGCGGTTGTCAGTACCTAGACGATGGAAGAGTGCGTGGCTCGCTGTGTCACAGTAACTCCCTGTGGATTGTTGACCTGAGTAAGTATTGTAGTTGTGGGCGGTGATTGTGCTTGAAGTTGCTGACTGTGGACGCATGTGTGCGTGTTGTGTGTGCATGCATGCATGTGTGTTTGTGAGTGCATACATGCATGTGTTTGTGTGTGCACGCATGCATATGTGTGTGTGTGTGTGTGTGTGTGTACGTGTATGTGTACGTGTGTGTGCACGTGTGTGTGCACGCATGCATGTGCACATTAGAATACCACTACGTCTCCACTACATCTCCAGACATGACCCTCGGTACTATTCAATCCTGTTTTACCAATGATCATTCTCATCTCCAACACACTATTGCTCATGGGGTGTGTGTGTGTGTGTGTGTGTGTGTGTGTGTGTGTGTGTGTGTGTGTGTGTGTGTGTGTATGTGTGCGTGCGTGCGTGCGTGGGTGGTTGGGTGGGTGGTGGTGGTGGTGGTGGTGGTGTGTGCATGCATGCATGCGTGCGTGCGCGCGCGCGTGTGTGTGTGTGTGTGTGTGTGTGTGTGTGTGTGCGCGCACACACGTCTGTATGTGTGTGTGTGTGGGGGGGGGGGGGGGGGATGTGTGTCCTTTCGACTCCTTTGACCCTTCTCTTCAAAAACTGTTTTGTGACTTGAACTCTTGTTCTCTACTCTTGTCCCTTTGCGGTGTGGTCTTCTGTCTTCTATCAGCGTGCATGGTTTGGATTCCCACTGTTGCACCGGACATGGGTGCTGTCAGCTTGGCCCGATTTGGCCACACAGCCGTGTCAGCCAATGGGTGCGTGCTGTTTTCAGTTGTGTGTGTGTGTGTGTGTGTGTGTGTGTGTGTGTGTGTGTGTGTGTGTGTGTGTGTGTGTGCATGTGTATGTGTGTGTGTGTGTGTGTGTGTGTGTGTGTGTGTGTGTGTGTGCGCGCCAGCTAGTTCGGTTGGTGGGTACACTTATGCCTGATTGTGTTGGATCTGTTGCCAACGGGCTCGGCTACTTGAAGGTGTAATGTTGTACCTGCCACCTTTGTTGGTTCCAGGGTTCATATACTTTCTGTTTGAAGTATACATACCTGTTAACCATGGACTGCTTCTGGCTAGATTAACTCTTGTGTAATCAACGGTGCTAGTGAAGCTTATATCAGATCCACTCTGATTTAGCCACCCACACTAGTTGCAAGTATTACCTTCACTGGGGGCAGGGGTAACTGCAGTTGGATCCCGGGACGGATACCCTGATGCCGTCAATCCTTTTTCTGCACCTTGTCCTCACCCACTTGCTGAGGTGTGGTGAGCCCATAAGTGGGATCATTTTCAAGTCCACCCAGAGTTTTGGGGATTTCAGGGGGTGTCGGTCGTTGGGCGGTTCAATAGCCAATTGAGTCATTTTTCCAAGATTCCTCTTGAGTCTCTCTCCCCTCTCCCGGGGAGACCCACGTGACCAGTTTTGGCAGTGAGCAACAAGTACAACAAGTGTGTGTGTGTGTTTGTGTGTGTGTGTGTGTGTGTGTGTGTGTGTGTGTGTGTGTGTGTGTGTGTGTGTGTGTGTGTGTGTGTGTGTGTGTGTGTGTGTGTGTGTGTGTGTGTGTGTGTGTGTGTGGTGTGTAGAGGGGGTTAGCTCTTACCTCTGTAGTCATGAATAGTCCTTTGGTAATGAGTTACGAGGACAGTGTGCATCAACTTGTGATACATGCCAGTGTGCATGCCAGTGCCGGCTGGCACCAATGCCACTGTTTGCTTGTTCCAACCTCTGCCGTCTCATCCACTTGAGCATGTTTAGTCTTAAATGACCCCGCATCCTCTTTTGATTTCTGTACTTCTTAACGCGAGTGTTTACTACATGTAGTAGAACCGTCCTTCCCACTATCAACCTTGATTCCGCCTGCATGCCTCTGACATACCGGTACATATGGAAGAGAGAGAGAGAGAGAGAATCCAATTGGAAAAAAATGCTGTAACTTACTAAGCTCTGTGGCTTTGACGTATCTATTCACTATATGCACTACACATACAGCTGTAATTGATTCCATGTACTGTAGTGTGTGGTATCAGTAACACAACCTCACACTATCCAGCAGGTACGCTGAACTTGTCCAATCCATGCCGAGTAGAAACGAGTGAATGTCGGAACGGATCTGTAAATTCTGGGAAGAGCTGCTACTGCCAAGCTTTCCCGAGTGGGATGCAGGAAGGGGATAAGGAGACAACTGCGAATGTCAGTTCATGCATCTTGGTCCCTTAATTGGTGTGTGTTTGCCTGCTTTGTGCCTATTTGTGTGTACCTGTGGCGTTTGCAGAGCAATGTGGATATTTGGCGGGTACGACGGAACATATCGCAACGACCTCGTACGCTACGTGTTTGGTACGTGCATATGCTGCATGTGATCTGTCTGGTCTTAGTAATAGCGTAGTTGCAAGTTGATCATCACGTCTGGCTGGCTGCGCTGTATGATGTGTATCATGATCCTAGTCTTGTTGTCCTGGTCCTGGTCTTGTTGTCCTGGTCCTGGTCTTGTTGTCCTGGTCCTGGTCTTGTTGTCCTGGTCCTGGTCTTGTGATCCCTGTCCATCACCCTGCAGCCATGTACATTGTAGATGGATGGCTTTCTGTATTGAACGAATAGCAGTGACACCAAGCAGTTGCAACTGCCTCGGCTTTCAGTGCGCTGAAAGTTTGTTGATTTACAGTCCACTTGATGTGAGAATGAAGTTGAAGACACCACTGCAGCTGTACTTATGGTTGATAAATATTATGGTGGTAAAGACACATCTGGCAATATGGCGGTAAATACATGCCTGCCCACACACGCTCTCTAGGCTGCAAAGTTCTGGCACAGAGCTCTCCTTCTCACCACCACCACCATGTGCGACTTGATGTACCAGCCTGCTATGTCGGATGCCGCCAACCATGCATCGACTAGGCGCCAGGCGTGAACTGATGGTGGTGGTGGTGAGAAGGAGAGCTCTGTGCCAGAACTTTGCAGCCTAGAGAGCGTGTATGGGCAGGCGTGTATTTACCGCCATATTGCCAGGTGTGTCTTTACCACCATATTTATCAACCACTTGATGTGAGGTTGGAGAATTGTTCGTTAATGTGACTTACTCGTGTGAGTACACTGGCAAGACGTAGTTTGCTCGCCATTAGAAGCTAGTTTGGAACTGAGTGGAGCATTGAAGTTTCGTCGTATTTCAA